CATCTCACAGAGCTTCAAGTGCTTTGGGATTTCTGAGAAAGCAGACACGACCAGCAAGTGTAATTGCCGCAAGTGGTGAACCAGTCCATGACCTTCCTGTTTTTTGGCGAATGGTTCAAAGCGGGACAGATGCATGGGGGTCGGCCACCCAAAGCAAAGCTTTTGGGGTTGGCTCCCACAAGCATTGTTGGGGGCGGTCCCCCCCTCTTGGACTGCCCAGCCGCTCGCGGCGCGTACCCCCAACGTCGGACGGGCGCCTCTCGCGGCCGTGCCAGGCCGTGGCGGCGGCCGGGACGACCGGAGATTACGTGTGACCCTGAGTCGTCCCGAGTTGTAATGAGCTACTAGGAACAAGTGCATCGCTAGAAGTAACAAGTGCCTTACTAGTAGTAACAAGAAGCTAGTAGAAACAAGTGCCTTACTAGTAGGAGCAAGAAGCTACTAGGGGCTGCTGGCCTTACTAATAGCAACAAGAAGCTATTAGTAAGAGTTGTCGTTCGGGCCGTTCCGTCGGCCTCGGCTCCACGGGGGTTGAAGCAAAGCTCAGACCTGAAGCGGCTGGGGAGGTGGTCTCCCTGTAGCTGTGGGGTTTTGTACACAGTCCGACTGGGGCAAGGTTCAACACTTCCGGTAGAGTGTGGACCTTTCCCGTTTGGGCTGGAAGAGCGAAGTCCATGTGATTGCAGTAATCACGTAAACGTTGCTTGGGATGGCGACGATGCCGACTCTGAAAGACCCGGAAAAGGATCAACTACAAATCCTCCTCTTCAGAATCATCACAAGTTTGGGTCTGTCCCAGTAAACTTGCAACAGTCAGGATCCATTGATCACTCTTTTTGAAAAAACATGCCACCTGACCATCCTCATCCACAGACGGGCGCAGGTATACCCTGCCATAGACCCAAACCATAACCACATCACCACACCCCATCTCGCGCACGTGCACTTGCGGTCACTCGGGGTCGCTCTTCTCCGGGGTCACTCGGAGCGACCGAGACGGGAGTTCCCCCAACTCCTTTGATGTATACCCTGGGAGTCCAGTGGACAATTTTTAAACGGTCTGACTTGACCAACTTGGTGATCCGAGTTCAGGAACTTCCAGTCGAACTGGACTTCTAGGCTATATAACCCCAAAAATCGATAATTACTGTAGAAAAAATGCACTTCCTTTTACGAAGAATGTATTGGAAAGCGTGCCTATCTGTCTATCTCTTTGGGGACCACTATACCAATTACCCTATAGATGGGACTCAAAGGGTGCTCTCTCCGTTTGGGCGGACCACACGGTGGTGCTCTACCGACTGGTCCAGGAAGTGGCAGATCACGTGACCCAGGAGGATGCCAAGACGATGGCGACCAAGGCGACGGCCTGTCGCTTCGGTGGAAGACATCGAGTTCTCACGATTTCCTTCCCTTTGATCCATAGTGCCACGGTGGCGAGTTGCAGGGAAGTCTCTGCAGGGCGTATATATTATGGACTAGTCAAGACTGGTCCAAGACCGGTGATTCAACATTCTGCCAGGTTTGGAGGTACTTAGATGTACTTAGTAGTTCATGTGGTGAGGTGAACTTGCCAGGTTTGGGTACACAAAGGACTGGGACTTTGGACCATGCTGAATTCTGGACCACTGAACTCTTGGGGGTGGTTTGGTGGGGAAGAATTGAGTGAAGAAGGACATTTGTGATCGTTTGCCATCTTCACTGAAAGCTACGCTGACCAGTCATGCTTTGCCAAGGACACTTTCTATGTGGGGTTCTTGCACAGCAAGCCAAGTCACATCAAGTAATCAAGTCCTCCGCCATTTCAGGAAACTGACTGAATTGGATGACGATGCATATTATATTAACATGCCTGTTGTAGATCATAAAGGTGACTCTTACATTAAGAATCACTATGATCCTCTTGGTAAGATCCTCTTGGATGGGCATAGTATACATTATATTACCCAGACCGTGCATGGGACTGCCATATATGCCGCCCCATCAACCGGCCAGTCAACCACCCCTGGCCTTTTCTCGGCACTCCGACATGGCAGTCACAGATGGCGGTCGTGTCTGGGTTATATATGAAGATCCTCTTACCTGGACCCTCCGTTTTCGGGGTGTCCTGTCTGGATCTACCCCGCACGGATCCGGCCGAAAAAGGCTTCCTGTCGGGGTGTTCACTCACGTGGGTATAGAGTTCTGAAGATCTTCTTAGGTTGCGTTTTCTTATGATGCCCATGTCCGAAAGACAACCCCCCCTGGAGGCCGCGACCTACGTGGCCCACAAAGACGGCCTTGCCATCGATCAGGCGTTCGATCAAGGGTTAGAAGTCGGTCAAAGGATGAGCTCACTGTTTTTTGGGATACTGTATACCCAAGAACCACACCCAGCAACCAATTGAGTTGGGTCGTTCTTTTTTTGCTGTGAATTGGCGTTTTTGTTGATGCTGAGCAACAAACATGCAACAGTTGCTGCATGTTTCGATCAAACTGCATGTGGTTGTCGGGCGGTTGAACATCTCAGGGATTTCTTCCGCGTCACGGTGAAACAGACATCGACGCTTTTTGGGGGCGGTCGATGGATGCGCCAGTTCTTCGACTCGAGGATCCGAGCAATCTACTATTCCGATGAATAGTCACCCTACCAAACAGTTATGTAATCCAATCCGAGTGCAATGAAGAGTCATCTTCCGATTTCGAGTCATCTTCCGATTGCAATCTTTCTTTTGACATCTTTAGACCAGCGACCAGAAGAGTCACCCGATACCAAACAGTTGGTGTTCGGTCGCACCAACAAAAACGAACACCCACGTGGAAGGCAATGCACCAATTCCAACTGCACCATGGTGTATAATTACTGTACCAGCACCTTCAAAGGGGTCACCTGGCTGGAAACACTACCTAGGGATCTCCAGACAGGACACCCCTTTGAAGGTCCAGGTATCATTGTTTTGCGCGATCAACAGGACATGGATGCGATCCGGCAAGGAAGGGGCCGAACGCCGGGCAGAGCGGCGCCAGACAGTGTCCGGCGAGGCTGGGCTACCGGAACCCCGCGGCCAGGCTTTTCTGAGTAAAGCAAAGCTGCACCGTGGAAGGGAACCTCGCCTCTGTGGGTTGCTCTTGGCTTTAACCGGCAATATACGGGTCTGTGGCTGGGCTGTCCACATTCCTGCCAACCACTGGTGTATGGCTTCGAGCTGTCCCTACAAGCTGTCGGTGTCCCCGATGCTTCACGCGGGACGCTTCACCGTCGCTGGTTGACGAGTGAAAACGTGGGCGACCTCCAATGGCACCGAAGACCTCACCAGTTTCGGGAGAGTCTGAGCTTCGAGTCTGATGTGATTGAAGTCCTTCGGGTTGAGGTGATATCAATCGCGCAAGGCGAGTACCCAAAGAGAAGACAGAGAAACAATGGCGAAAGGCCTCATTGACTCCTTTTCGAAGGAACGCCAAAGCAACGCAGCAAATGCTTCAGATTTGCTTGACGGGGAAGCAATTCTGAACGACGAGGCCGCACGGTAGAACCTGGAGATCCTGTAGAACCTGCAGAACTTCCTTGAGAAGGGAGGCGTGCTGCCACGGCACGAGGGCGATGACCATGGCACGAGAGAGCACGTAACAGCGAGTACGCCAGGTCAAGATCCTTCCGGACAGCACGAGTTCGTGAAAGAACTGAACACCTTTAACTTCACTCGTCTTGGTGTGGTTTCTGGACCCTTGAAGTTGTTTCATCTTTTTCTGGACCCTTGCTGTGCGCGTTTGTGTTCACCCCCAGTCGTGCTGTGCGAATTGGATGGAATTGGGTTGCTGTCATCAGTTCTTCGACCGGGCTCCGACTGTCCCGGTCGCGGTCGCGGTCGGGGTGTGCTTCGGCCCCGGAGTTCGGTCCTGTGGTTCTGCCACGAGCTGCGGGTGCCAGGATGGATCCTGTTTTAGCCCCAGTTTGAAGCAGAAAGAAATCGTTGGACGCAGGCTCCAGCTTGAAATCTCCCGCAAACGAGTTGGGACTGGGGAACCGTCCGTGTCTTTCTGGTGGTTTGGGGGTTTCAGGTTGTTCTCCTCAGGTTTCAGTGAAGCCAAGTGCCCAGTGAACTTGGCTTCGAAACCTTATTGAACCATCATTGAACTCCTTTTCCTCACAGTTTTCATTATTTCATTTGTGGTTTGTGAAGCCAAGTGCCCCAGTACGATCGACTGGAGAGTCAAGAAAGCCGCTCTGTGGAACTTCAGCAAGTTGGAGAACACCGCGATAATGTACAGATGGGGGAGGCCGGATGTAGATGTGACAGCTGCAGGTCAGTCAGGTGAGGGGGTCTCCTCAGGCCTCGCCGGAACCTGGGACCCTCAGAGTTCGTAGCGCAGCGAGGCGACTCGTAGCGCAGCGTTCGATGACGCTCTCCCCCTTCCTTTTGTCGGGGGCGCTGGCTCTTCAGGCGAAGGCTGAAGGCTCCAGAGCGACGGAGCGGGGGAGATCCGGGAGGAAGAGAGATCGATCAGGTCGCATGGAGGGTTGGCCAGATGAGTTTGCATCGGGTTTGTCCCTGTAAAACTGTAACAGTCAGTAAACAATCACTCTTTCTCTAGATGTCGATGCCTTCTACCAGCACCCGAAACCTGCCAGGTCACCAATTGAGACCTGTTAGGGCTCAACGCCACAACCTGTTGGAAGGAGATCTGGCAGAGTCGGGTTGCTGGTAGAGATGTCATCATCCACTGGGGCCCTGGGGCTAACTGGGATCGACCGGACCCCACTGTGATTCTGTCGTGAAGACCTTGACGTTCCCCCAAACGAAGCGGCAGCAAGGTGCCAAGTCGTCGACAGGGGTCAGCATTGCTGCTGCTGCTGCAGAAACCCCACCGTGCCTTGGGGTGTGTTGTGGCGCTTCATGATTTGGACATAATCACCTCCCGAAATGCTCCAACGCAACCGCCAACCTCGACGTCTTCCGCCGGACAGTGCTCGTGATGAGTCTCCATGAGCTCCGGAAGCCCCTCGGCCCTCCCACCGTGGCATGGCCCCCCGTCCATTCCGGGGGCGGCCCGGGTCCCCGCGAACGAACGGCGGGCTTCGAGTCGGTTTCGTCCTAAGGGAAGCGATCCAACAGCAAGGAGGCGAATTTGCCGGGAGACCCAACCAAGCCCCCCAGACTCCAGACACCTCGAGGATGCGCTGTATCAAGCGCACGGTGCTTCGGCCGGACAACGGCCCGGGTGGGATCGGGGGGTGCCGTTCCGGTGGCGCCGTCGGGACACTCGGGAAAAGGAGGAAGAGAAGCGAAGGGCTGGCCCTCACGTAGCGAAGACTGGTGGTTTCTTGAGTTCACTTTGGGCTCCAGAGCTCCGAATGATCACTGAAGGAATGCACGGAGACTCGTCACGTCCGGCAGTCCGGTCATCCTCTCCTTCACCGTAAACTGTGCATCTGAACTCCAGTTGTACCGGGAACAGTTCAATATCCCAAACGCCATGCACCGAGGGAACAGATCCATATAGTGACACTACTGAGTTGGAACGTTCTCATTCACGTGCTCACCGGCTCCACCATCTCTCAGCATTTGCTTTTTTTTGTTTGGCAATGTGTTGTACCGTCGCAATCCATTGTGCAATCACGTGTCATCCATGTCTGTTTGCTCCATTTCTGCTTGGGGATTCCAACATATCCGGCCTGCCACATCTGACGTCAAACCTGACATCGAGGCGTTCCGGCCAGGGAGGGCGAGCCGGGAGACCATGTCTACCCTAGCTAGCAGGTCTTTCCTACGTGGTGGACTGGACCCGGTACCCTGCAGCTTCGAAGGGGTTGAGGGATGTTGAGGGGTTGAGGTCCATGGTGTGTCATCATTTGGCAAGGCAGTACCTCTTCGTCCAGCTTCCTCCCCTCAAGTCTTTTGACAAATCCAATCAGATGGATCTCCACCATCAGGTCGCGCCAACGATCCTTCCGAAGAAGGTGCCAGAAGCAGTGGAGGCACGGGCTTTCACTGGGTGGGAGACATGGCCATGTCTCCCTCCTAGCAGAACTGGGGGGTGGTTTCAGAATGTTTCAGATATTTTTTTGATGTTGAGCCCTTAGAAAGGGCGATGATTGAACCCACGTCGACTCATCTTTTTCGTTCGTGAGTTGAAAGCACAGCGGCCAACTGAATCAACAGGCAGTGCGTCGTTGTCCCTTACAGGTCCAGGTCACCACGCTGGAGCTGGTCATGCAACAACACGACTCGGGGAGGTCAAGGACCAGGTGTACTGAGGCGATAGCTTAACCGCCTGATTTGTGTGAACCACAGCACCACATCATCATTCAAGAACTTGGGCACGATCGGTGGCCAGTCCCGTCCGGCATTTGCGCCCCCCAGGTCTACAAAAGCCACAGGTTTTACAGGGCTTTTAGACCTGGTCTAGGTGTAGTTGATGGTTGATGGTTGATGATTGAGGCGATAGGTCGGTCCAGCACCAAAGGACATGGAAGCAAGCCGTGAGGAAAAACCAAGCCATGGGGATCCAAACAATTGCACGAAAAGACATCGGCAAAGAAACAGCCTAAATGAAGCCGAAGCCTCCGCCTCCTCCTCGAATTTCTGCTTTTGGATGGTCTGGTCGGTCTGGTTTTGGATGCGAAGCGATGGTCTGGGTCATGGGAACGAAGCCTGTGGCCTTCGACCTGGGGGCCTGTCTTCCATGCCTTGGACGAGGAATCGATGGTGCCCAAGTTCTTGAACGATGTCGTGCTGTGGTTCACACACATCAGGCGGTTAAGCTATCGCCTCAGTACACCTGGTCAGGTACCCTAGTCGTACTGTGGGGTGCCAAAACGAGGGCCGGAAACCCCTCCAAGCCCCGCGATGCCGCGAAGCTTGGTTCGTTCCCACCGGTGCTCCGGAGGAAGCCGGCCGACAGCTCCGAGCGTCGGACGGTCCCAACATCCATCCTTGGTGCGGCCAATCCAGTGCACCCACCCATATAGACTGTGAAGGCTCCAATCATGTAGGCTCTTATAGATGATCTAACAAAACACCCCCTCAAGCCTGAAGAGGTTTTACAATCCATGGAGATTTTAGGGGCTGAATTGAATCAACATTCCACATGAAGGGCCACATGCAGGTTTTGCACATCCCTCACTGACCGACCATCCGTCCACATGAGGCAGGCATTAGCGCCGCGGATGCCTTGCCTGCTACTGCGCCGTTGCAGGACCAGGCGCGAGAATGCCTTCAGCCTGCCTCAGTGATTCTGGCTGAAGCACATGAACCACTTTGGGTGTGGATTTCAAGAGGGAGAGACACCCTGGCCGCCCTGGCCCCTGGGTTTTTCGATCCTATTTCCTCTACCCAGGAAGGAGTTCCTGGTAGTTACCCAGTCGTGAAAAAGGGCTGCGAGACAAGACAAGCTTGCTCAAAAGGGGGTCAGTATTTTTTGAGGAGTAAGAGGAGAAAGGTATGGGGATATGAAGGGATATGAAGCCTGCACAAGTGATTCGGGATGTTTCCTGTGCCCTTTCGAACGCTGAATCATCACTAGAGTTGGGCTTTGGCTGATCCATTACTCCTACTGCCGATCGTGGACATTGGGCATTGTGGCAGTGTCTTGTAAAGGCAACATTAGATATTGGCAACGTCTGCTTTGTAACTGCCGATGTGCATTTCCAAGTCTTACTTGCTTGGGCAAGAAAGAACAGCATCGGAGATGAGCCCTTCATCCTCATCCTCCTCCTGCCTCAACGCCTTCACATTTTTTCATGGAGCATCTGCTGGTGTGGCCCTTCACCCCCGAAAACATCCGAAAACTGCCATCACCCGGGCGAGAACTGCAAGTGGGATGGCACATGTGTGACCCAGTGTTGGATACACCGCACCTTTTCGTCGTCGTGTTGGCTTCCACGACATGTGTCATTGGTCTCTCTCTGTGTCATGACGTGCAACTTGACATGGCCAGGTTTTTCAGCATCATGGAAGACCCCATTTGCCTCCCTCTCGGCCTACTCGTGGTCTCCCAACTCATTTCTGGGCGGTCCAACCACCGACGGAGTCGGTGTGTCCTTCCTGGTCGGGTACGTCCGTGTGAGTTCGAACCCACGGCGCAGGTCGTTGCGGCGGCCAGCGCGGCAGGATCTCAGGCGGGCGGCGGCCAGCGGCGGCGGCCAGCGCGAGGAAAGCGTGGGAGGTGGTTAGGTAATGTTAGTAGGTTGTACGAGGTTCTCAGATATGGGATGGTGGTGGCTTTTGTCATTTGTTCCATGTTTTTCTCATGGTATTTGGACCACGTGGAGACTGTCCACAACGCCTTGCCTTTCAAAGGGGGTCACAGACTGGTGCACGGCATGACCCCGCAGATGTTAGAGGGCACATCTTGAACAGACTGGATCATGGTGGATCAGATAGGTCGATCAGATAGGTATAGGTCACTTTGGTGCACGTTGGCCCACCTAGTGATCATGGTGGATCCACTTTCCAGTTTGGGTTGCACTTCGGCCTGACATTTTAGCTTCCAGGCCATTGGCACTTCCAGTGAGACCACGGCCGAGAAGATGGCCACGGAGGCCAAGAATCGAAGGTTGAGGAGTCGAGGATAGTCGAGGAGTTGATGATTTTCAGAAGGGTCAAACGCTTTCTGCCTGGACCCTCCTGTCGGGGTGTCCTGGCTGGACTACCCCCCCCTTGGAGGGTCCAGGTGGGTGTTTTCGTTCATTTACATTCCTGCCATCTTCCATGACTGGCCATGGTTTGATAGGTCCAGGGGCGTCGGCCTGGTCGTTTTGGAGCGTCGACTTGTGACTTTCCCTGCCGTGAGTCATCTGACACAGACTTCTTCCGTGGATGTGATGACGGAGTCGGGGTACGGCTACCTGGTTCCCAGGCATTTGCTATAGCTGTGTAGATATATAAAGGAAACAGTAAGTAGTATAGCAAGTGATTTTCCCGGACTTTTTCACAACAAATCAGGCCACCTAGTGATTCAAACCTATCTATTTGGAAAACGATAGTCAGCACTGAAGAGTCACAATCATTAAAGCCAACGAAAGGTGAGCTGATACGAAACAACAGCAGAATCAACAAAAGGCCTTTCAGCAGAAGAACACGGACATTGCTCCATGATGAGAGCTAAACAACTGCGTAAAAACGAAGCAGGTGCTTGAAAGTAAGCAGAACCACTAACATCTTGGTAACCGTATATAATCCCCAAGGAACATGTGCCGAGACGAATGTCTTCTCCGAAGCACTCTCAAGCGACATCCTTGGTATTGGAAGGAAATAATGCTTGAAGTGCCCATCTTTTTTTGCGATGACTATGGTGAATGATGAGGCATGACACGGCATGACCATGATCATGAGTCATGAGTCATGAGAGAATATGTGAAACAGGCATGCAACCGATCAATCTGCCAGCTATTCGATACCAAGCATATGACACCTTCGTCAGTACCACACGATCTCCCGCGGACGTTTTCCGGACGTCTACCTGTCGGCCGTACCTCGCCAGGCCGCTGAGTATGTGGCTCATGAGAAGGGCTTGCCCATCAGTGAGGCGCCTCGCCGTGTTGTTGCCTAGTGAAGCGCGGCTCTGCGAGCCTACTCGACTCGAAAAAGCCTCTTCACTGGAGAATCTGGGTGAAGAGATGTGGAGAAGCAGGGGTTGTTTCAAATGACCATACACCGGCCATGGACCTAAGCTCGGCCAGCAACCGGGTCCACAACGCGATAACATGCGATAACTACCGGAAAAGAGGGAAGAAAAAGACGTTTGGTGAACGTTTAGAGAGTTTGATGTTCCATTTTCTGAACTCGTGGGTGAGACAATCAGCTGGTTGAGTTTGATTTGAGCGGGCCGGCAACAAACAGGCCTTGGGAGACCAGGTTCGCTCACCTTGTCCAAACAGGTGCCCACAACACACCCTGTCACGTTCGGTGTTCGGTGGTTCAGGAGGTGACGTCCCATCGCTGCCGGGCGGACGTCCAACAGCTGCGAGGTCTGCAGATCGGGTCCCCTTGCACCGTCGCACGAGTTCGAGTCGATCGATCATGGGGCTTGCCAGCAACAAGACTTCAGGGAGAGCACTCCAAAATCTGGTGTGGTTGGAATCCATTCCACGGATTTCATAGTGGATTTGGATATAGGGGTTTAGGGGATGTCTCACTTGGTTTTGTCTCACTTCGTTTTGTCTCACTGCGTAGCGTGAGGCGCATGCGGAAGCCCAGGGAGCTGTGAAGTGAGGGTGGCTCAGTCAGTGTGGCAGCTGGGTCAGTGGGACCCCACCGAACGGATGTTCATCGGCAATGCTGACCATCCGACAATGAAGATCTCACCTGAACTCTTCTTCGTTTCGTTTCGTCCTCTTCTGTCTTCTTGAACTGATACGTTTATGTCCCATGTGTCTTCGGTCGCAGAAAGCGACCCGACCTTCATTGGACCTCCACCTAAGAAAGTCCTTATACCCACTGCCAAAAGGGGCTTCAGTCAGCAAATCACATGGGATACTGGATACCCTTCTAAAGACGGTTTTCCTCTACAAAGCAGATCAACCGTCCCTGTTCGTCTCCAGTGACGGTCGGCTTGGGGGATGGCCACTTCGTCATCTCGCCGTGGACCGGAGGCAGGCAGTGGCCTCGACGGGCGGCCACTTCGTTGGGGACACCGAGAAGATCGCGAATCGCTTCGGAAACCTGGAAACGTCTCAGCTGGCTGAGGGGGTTCTACAGTTGATCAGTACCTGGCGTGTTGCTTCTTGAGGGAGTGTAAGAGTTACGAGAATCCCGAGACTGACAGTGATGTGCAGATTGAGGGCCGTGCCTAGGCACCCCGAGAGTTCATGCCCCGAATCATGGTATGCATTCCCACAATCACATGGAAGTGGAACAGTTGGGCGCCGTGGAAGACCATGACATGCTCTACAAAGGGGGTGTCTGCTCAGCTTCCATGATTGTTTGAGGGAGGGTAGTTCGTCACTTTGAGGATGGAGAGAATACGATTCGTCGCCGATGCTTTAGGCAATCTTCGTGGGTAAAACAAGGCTCCTTGGGCTTGGTGTGGGGACATGGCCATTCAACTGCAGTATTTTCAGCAGGTGCTTTTTGTCCAAAGGTTTTGCATGGCACAGTGTTGACCACGACCTCTGGTTGAAGTTGACGCATTTTTATGACTTCCTGAGGTCGAAGGAGAGTAAGTCCTAAGTAGTTTTCTGTGCTGACACGTGCTGGTGCTGCCTGCCTTTCTGCAGACTGACGAAAGGCGTCAGTTTTTGGCATAGCTTGACACAGCACTTTTGGCTGAAGCACCATCGTTCATCACTGAAGCTCTGATCACCATGGCAGAGACTAAATGCGCATAAAGACCTGCCAAGATGGGCTGACCAGACACTTGGGAAAAGGCAGATCGACACCCACCGGACAGAAGCGGAACTCGTGTCGATCGGGTTTGGGACTGACTGCCATGTGAGGGTCACCGCGCGAAACCGAAACGAACGACATGAGCAAAGCAAACTGGGCGGGTCCGGTGGGTTCGAAGTGGAGGTTAAGTGGTCCTCCCATCTGGAGGGAAGCCCGTTCCGTTCCTAGCTTACGTCCTCCAACCTGTGGGTTCCTACTAGGCTAGCTAGTTCTCACTTCCATCTGGGGGGGGGGGGTAGAGGTTCTTTTGGAACTGATTTCAAGAGATCAGTTCCAACTAGCTCATGGAATCACTCCTTCCCACCGAGACAGCTCTTCCGCCCTTCCCCAACGAAACCTGAAGTTGGAGCTCCTTTCAAGGAGCCGTCTGGATGCGGACGTTGGACGAAGTGCATCCGAGGTGCACCAGAGCCAACTGACCAATCCGGGGAAGGCGCCGGTGCACCAGTCCGAGTGAACACGAATGGCGCGGTGAGTCGAGGGGAGGTAGATGTCGGTGTTGCGAAGATCGCTGTTGGAATCTGTTGGAGGATCCTTTTTGTTGACATGGTGAGTGTTGACCTTCTTTTCTGAGGCACGCCTGGACTCCAATGGGAGGGTTTTCTCTGTTTTGATCGCTTTGGATCTGTGCCTCAAGTGGCATCCCACACCACTGGCCTGTGGCAGGACTGCTGGGCAGCCTGTGGCTCACAGAGTGGCTACTGCCCCAGCTTCTGCGGCCTTGGTGCTTGCCTGGGAGCTCAGAGGTTGTGAGACCCGAAGAGACCCGAGATGTGAAGTCTACCTCACAGGGGTCGAACCCGAGGAAGCTCCACATGTTCTCACCCCAAGCAGGGCGAAGTCCAACCGGTTCCCTTTTCCTCAGACACATGAAGAAACCCTTGGGATCCCATGGGTTCATTCCGGTCGGAGATGAAAGGGAAGAATTCATCAGCGCTCTGCTCCAGAGCGTTGCCTCGAGCTGCCCCGCCTCATTCGCGGCCCGTCTTCCTTGGCCAAACGCCCGCGCATCTTCAGGTTGCAACAAGATCTCCTCCGCCACAACGCCCGAGTGTCACGGTGTAGGGGAGCCCAGTGACTTGGGGTGTCGACTTTCCAGGTGCACTGACACTGGTGTTGGAGAGTCCAACGTGTGACCCCAGCGAAGGGATCCCAAGCTGGTTGGAGAACTGCAGATCCATCCAAAAGCATTCAAACAAGATCAGGCAGCTTCCTCCTTCCATGTGTGGCAGATGTTGTTTTCCTTTATGCTTTTGCGCCATGACGCATGCTGGAGTGTCAGACAACCGATCCCTTTCCCCGGGACCTCTCTGCCCAACCTCTGTGCCCCAGCTTTTCAAGCCTGGAAGGATCTATTGTCCAACCTGCCCACATGTGTGGCCCGAAGACCTTCTGGGCCCGGACGGATTTCACCCTCCGTCGTTGGGGCCAGGGGGCCAGGGACGTTAGACCTACTGTCCATGGAGGGGGGTACGTCGGAGTATAGTCATAGGAGTCTATATGACATAGGAGTAATTAGTCATGGGAGTAGCGTCTGTTCTCTTCCCACAGCTTTCACTCTTCCTCCCTGTGAGGCTTCCAAGTCAGACCAGTACCAGTGCGTTGCTCCAGCGGTGCCTTGGCAGACGCCCGCAAAAATTGGATCCGGCCCGGCCAAATACAACTTCTTTGGGGAGGATTGGGGACACTCCCACTGAAATCCAACAGGTGACTTGTGTGGCAGTGGTGGGCTCTCCCACCTTCTTTGTTTAGTGTGATGAAGTGATCCTGTGTCTTCTGAGTCGGGAGCGTAGGCTGCAAGGATGGTGCAACAGGTGGAACCGGTGACTTCACCGGTTTCCAGGGAGCTCCCTCTATCGCGAAGGACAAAAAAAACGGCGGGGACCCAACACGGCGGGAGGATCATGGGTGGACATAGGCGCCAACACGTCCGCGTCGGCGATGGGTGGAGGGGTTAGATGGCCTGAGAACCACGGAGAACCACAGGACATCCACGATTTGTTCTCCGTGGCCTGTGGAACCTTCTCAGGGTGGCCAGCCAAGATCATCAGAACCACAGGCCATCCAAGAAGCACCGTCCCTGTGGAACCTTCTCAGGTGCTCCTGACCTGGATCTCTTGCTTCTCTCAGCTGAAGGGCTCTGCAGGGTCTTTTCTGAGAGTTCAAGGGCTCGACTCGACAGAACGTGTGACCAGCAGTTAGACAGCTGTTGTCTGCCCCACATGCGATGTTGACATAGGCTGGAGGGGACCGTGACGGCTTTTCCATCCACCAATGGATTCCATCCACCATTTGTCAACGAATGAATTGCTCCTCCATCCATCAACCCAGGCATCCCCCTTTTCCCTTCAGTGCCCCAAAGCGCAGCTGATTCAGGCTGTCTTCCCAGGCGCCGTCCGACAGCGCCAGGCCAGGGTCTGCCGGGTGGATGGTCAAGGGCGAGATGAATGCTGCCAGCTTCATCCCAATATGAACGCGTAATCACTCAAACAGTTCCTGTATACAATTCGCCGCTGGAGCAGCGCGGCGAAGCTGTGGCTAAGGGGGGAAGAGTTTCTTTTTGGCCCAAGCTCCTCTTCTTCCAACAGCACTCTTGGAGGGTCGCGAGGAACAACCGGGGGGATGGGTCAAAACCAGACCTTGGTTAACCTGGAAGGTCGAGCTCGATGACATGACCCAGGCTCCTGTTTTTGACGAGCCATCCCCGTGTTCATGGTGCAAAAGGTTCAAAAAGCTGTAAAATAAGGCAATGGAAGTCAAGCATCATAAAGCAATGAATCACTGGACTGAATACTCCATGGGACTGCCAAGTCGGACTGCCGCCCCATGAACCCCCCAGTCAACCACCCCTGGCCTTTTCTCGGTACTCCGACATGGCAGTCCCAGACAGGTCCGTGTCTGGGTTGAAGATCCTCTTACCTGGACCCTCCGTTTTCGGGGTGTCCTGGCTGGATCTACCCCGCACGGATCCGGCCGTTCGGCTTCCTGTCGGGGTGTTCACTCACGTGGGTGACTCCGAACTCGACGGATTTCGTCGATGACCGCCCAGCCGGTCTGGAACCATCCAGACGGAACGATCGAAGAGGTGGAACGTGGAGACGCTTGATGGTCTAACGATCCGACATGGATTTGGGCAAAGGCGGTGTGGCGACATGGAAGCTGGAAATCGAATCAAGAGTCCAAAAAGATTCTCTTGAAACTTGAGAGCAACATTCTTGGATTTTGTCATGTGTCATGATGATTTTGAGCGTTCACCAATCAGTCCACGACCGACACCAGAAAAGGTTTCTAAGGCATTTCTTTGAAGGTGTCACCCTCGAGTTTCAGACTGATGATCACCAAGAAGTTGATTCTATAGTATTCTTCTGTGAACTTGAGTCCCAATAACCCTTTTCAGCTTCTTCTATACCCTTCCAAGTGGTTAGGTACGCCGAAGGGTGCCGAAGGGATCCGAACCGAAGGGTGTTGGTTTGTTTGTTGCTGCAGGGAGATAGCAATAGCTCCATCCTGGTGGTGGATGCTGGGGCACAAACAGTGGAAGAGGCCCGGGACCGTCCACCGCGCTGGTTTCGTACACCGTTTTCGGCTCTTTTTGGTGGCTTTCTTTCTTTTCGGAAGGGGACGAACATCTGCGGGACATATGAGGAATCAACCAGAAGCTGACTGCGCACCTTGGGCACGTTGCACCTTGGGCGGGTCGTTGGTGGCAGAGCAGCCCACGACGGAGATGGAAGAGCCGATCTCGATTGGGGACGGACTTTTCCGTCATCGATCTTTTCGAAGTCGATGACGGAAAAGATAGATCCGAGTGGATGGCCCAGTGGAAGACCCTGTGACCATTCGTTTTTCACCAAAGGATCGGATCAGGGTAGAGAGAAGGTCCGGAGGGTGTGAAGACCAGAGCCCTGCGACATCGCGCCAGACATCGCGCGGTCCAAAAGCTTTTAGATCTATTGGGTCAGTATTTGATTGCTGGAAGCAAGAAGCTCATCCACTGAAAACTGCACTGGCCTAAACGCTAAAGGCATTTGCTTCCACTGGAAGGAGCTGTTACAAATTCAAGAGTAGACTCCGGTTCTTCGAACACCACCACCTCGTGGACCAGATCGCATCCTCGGACGGATTTGTTCGGCGCGATGCCAACTGTGCCAACCGAACTCCAATCCAAGCTTTTTCACCTTGTTCTTTGACCCCCCAAAACACGTCGATGCTTCTTGGACCAACCGCCACGCGCTTCTCGCCTCGCGACGCTCGACGCGCGAGACGTCGGCAGGGCTCCGGTGGCCTTGGCATCGGTCTTTGGATGGTGGTGGCGGCCCGAACGCGCCGAACGCGCCGAAGAATAGTGGAACGGGTTTTCGGGAGTTTTGTCATCCTCAGTATATGATAGTAATAAGATAATTACTATTATCATTATTACTATTATTACTATTGTGTTTTTAAACCAACATCTCAAGACACAAGGAGAACAAAAGACCTGTACTAGGGTTTCGTGAGATTTTGATCTGGTCTCCATGTTCATCCTGGGAGAGGTTCCGACTGGTTCCGCTCTGGTCGCCGCCGACTTTGGAGGGTTGGTTTCGGCCGACATCTGAAGCAGCATGTGGACCACCTTCCAAAGACCAAGCGAACTGAAGCTAAACAGCAGCAAAAACAGGTAATTCTTGCATGTCTACCATGCGATTCTTTTGGAATGAGTTCTTCAAGCTTAGAGCCAGTGCCCGGGCTCTTCTCTACATTTTCAGTGGTTTGGTCCAACAAGAAGCACTTTGCCCCTTGTGAGAAAGCAGACATGGAAGGGCACAAGAAGTGGTTTTGCTGCTTGGCCGTGCTCAGCACACATCGAGGTGCTGGCCTTGGTGCTGGCCTGCCTGGTCTGCTGTGGAGGCAGCGACGATCTCAACGGGAAAAGAAGACGCAAGAGCACACCGTCCTTCCTTTTTTGGCGTGGTGGTGTGAAGCATGTTGAGTATCACAAGAAGCAGAACCCCCTAACCAACTCTTAAGATAGTTTTTTAAATTGTTTTTGTATGGTTTTGTTCTTGCCAGTTTGTCTTCTTTTTTTCCTCCAGCCCTTATTTTCCCCTCTTCAGATCCTGATGCCCGGTCCAAGCTAGAAAGGCTATCGCCGCCCTCGCCGCCCGCTCTGGCCATTCCGCCTGCTGGTCCGAAGTGATGTGGACCTCTTTTCGCTCGCACGCACACACCGTGGTGCACCATCCGATCGATCTACGCAACCGCTCCATCGCACGACTCGCGGAGAAACCCCCGTGCCCGGTGGAGGCTGCTGGTTCATGTCCCGCGAGAGGAAGACCAAGGGAGCCACGCGCACCGCCGGGGTGCGGGACGCCGGCCCATCGTGCGAGCTGGGCGGTCGGGTGGATGGCGGGGGACGACTGGATGGAGCTGGAGCCGGGGTTCGTTAAAGGAGATAGAATACGGAAGACATTTTTACATGTATTCATCAATATAGACCTGGATTTTCCCATTTATGCCAACATTCACTCGACTTGGTGAGGGGAACCCCTTGGAACATTCTGAGTGGAGCCTTTTTTCCCCATGTGTACCCGATCGTAATCATCACTTCGTCACAAAACCAGAGAAGCACCACACAATCAACCACCCGGTGGCCCCTACCTGCCAGATGTGGTCTTCAGACCATCTTCGGTGGCCTTGACCTACCACACAATCCATCACTTCGTCACCTGCCACTAAAAAGCTCTTCAGATGTGGGCCTGTGTACCCGGTACGCCTGTGTGACCCGGTCTATTCTGTGCGGCGGCGTGGACACGTGGTCGCTCCTGGGGGCGCCAGTGGCAGATGCCACTCGCCGCAGCGAACGATGCGTTGACTCCAAGAGAGGGCTCCATCTCTCTCCGTATTGAGGTGTCTATCTCCAAGAGCGATGGGAGTGATCTGGAACTTCAGGAGATGGGAGAGATGGGGATCAAGGGAGCCGGAGAAGATGGAGCTATGAACTTCAAAACATCTCTCAACACCTTCAGGAGATGGAGAAGATGTTGGGAGATCTTTGGAGGATCTACGGTAGGGAGTTCAGTGAGTTCAGGGATGGAGAGACCATCGGCCGATGTTTGCTCTATCTTGTTTGTGGAAGTGACATCAACTTGCGCAACATCTGTGTGCTTCGTTAGATTTGGGGGCAACAGTAGGTTTCAAGAAGGATGCTTCTTTTATCTTATTTTCTTTGTGGGCGTAGGGTTGAACGAGTTTCTGTAGTTGATCGGCGAGAAGTTGACCTCAGAGGCTGTCCCTTCGACCCTCCTCTTTCGAAACACACCATCCCTCGGCTGTCCTTGGCATCGGAAACGATCTTGCGGGAAGGGGTGCCACACTTGGACTATGAGGGGGCCTCAAGTCAAAAGTGACTGAAGGAGGCATGTGCCCGGCGATCAGAAAATGACATGCAGTGCTCACGATACATGTTACGACCCTGCTCAGGTTTTTGGGACACTCGATCAATCCCCCCCCACCCAACGAAGTCACCCTGTTCAAGGAGGTGAATGTCACCACTTGAAACAGGTCTGTTTTTCAACCGACCGCAGAAGAGAACCTGTCTTCTCCGGTAAAGTTCCCGGTGAAGTTTAGCTTTTACATGGCCCAAGCGACGAGAAGTTCCGTGTTCAAAAGGGAGAAATTCCGTGTTCAAAGGGTGGACACCCAAAGATTTGGAAGAACAACTCCCTGCCCCTCAGACTTCGTAGCTTCGTTTTCGGAGTGGGACTGGGGTGGGTGATGGTGGGAGTGGGTGGTGGGTGTTGGGAGTCGGCTGGTTCTTCTCAGGAAGCCCAACTCTGGAGCCGATCTAAGAGATCGATGGCACGGGCTTCAAACCCATGGCCCCAAAACGCCTCAGCCCCCCGGGCCCCCAAACAGCCCCCAAACAGCCCCCTGGAGGACGAAATTCTCCGTGGTGAAGTAGCATGGTGGAGTTCATTCCACGAAACCACCACGGAACCACCACGAAAGCACCACGAAAGCACCACCACCACCACCACTTACGGATTCCATGTCTTCCTACGTCAAGAACGTCAAGGCCCAGTGGAGCCAGACGGAGACAGTCGACTCGTCGACCGAGACGAAGACATGGTGGTGACGTGGCATGGCATGGGGTCCGACAAGGAGGACGACGTTCAAGGGGTTTTCCCACTACTTTCAAGGGCTGGATGGCATGGACTTTCCTCTAACTCAGGGTTTACCCACCTTCAATCTGAGTGAGTCAGAGTGCACCTGTACTTCTCCTGCGTGTGTTCGCAGGAGCCCTTCTCTGATGAGCCCCCAGCCGCTGGCACACGCACCGTGGCCAAGGCAGTGTTACGTTCTTTCGGTTTCGGAGTTGTGCGAAAGATGAGGAGGACAGGGGTGCCCATTCACTGAGGGTCCCAAAACCCACCCCGGCATGGAACTCCTGCAGTGTTTGTTTTTTCAATCCGTGTCTCAATGACTGGATTTTTCATTTGTTCCTCTTTGGGCGGATCCCCCCTTTAACAACATCAAACACATACAGCCAGATACCAACACAATTCATAACAATTCACCTCTGAGTTTGGTTCTTCCCAAAGAATTCACATTTTGAAGGAAGGGTGGGGCCAACCCCCCCAAAACCGCTGGCGATCCCCCCCCGAACCGCCCAGTGGTGAGGCAGCCGCGCCGTTGGCACCCATGATGCCCACGCCAGTGCCATTGACCTCCGGGTGAGGGAAGCTCAGGAGTGGGAGAAGGAGTCCAGGACCTCTGGAGTGGAGGTCGCCCCCCCCCCCTCCAGCATTTTTCTTCAGGGGTATGTGCTGAAACGGAAGATGAGCTGTGAGATGTCGGGGAAAGATGTGAAGGGCAGAAAGTCTTGGAGATCAAGTCACCCAGATGGCAGAAGATGGCCATGGGTTTAAGGGAAGCTTCCTCATGTCACTAGGGTCTTTTGCATTTCCCAACAGTGAAGCGTGGGGGTCTTCAGCCATAGTAAAGACTTCGGAGCAGATCGGAGCAGGTTCCGGAGCAGATTCCTGATCAAGTTCCAGAGCAGGTTCCGGAGCAGGCCCCGGAGCAAGGAGATCTGAAGCACACCCTGGCCCCTGATGAGAGGTCAATAGACCACGTGGACTGAAGCCGCGAGACACAGGACTGGTCCCTCTCGGGAGGTTTTGTTTTTCCTGGAGCTGGTGTCCACACACACACACACACGTGAGCATGTCAAGCTTCAGGTTGGTCAACGTGTTCCAGGGAAGCCTTCTTCGCACTTTTGTCAACGGCAGAGGCCTACGAAGAAGAGTTGGCCGAAGACAAGGCTTGGCGGCTTGGACTCGCTCACCGTTTTGAGAGCAGTTATGTTCGGCTCCTACCATCGAAGGCTTGCAGTGTTTAAGGCTTTGTGGTGCTTTGTGCATTCCATTGTATTCTTGTGTTGGCTTCATGTCTTGTCCAACGTGCTTGTAGCCCTTGAGTTTGCTTGCATTTTTCCAGGCATCCCAAGTTGCACAAGGACATAGGAAGCTCAGGCAAGCCAGGACCACTCCCCAAAAGTTTGGGCTGGCTTTGAGGAGGTATGTTGAGGGCGAGCTTTGAGCTGATGCGTATTCCAGCCCTTCATTGTCACCATCACTGGCCTGGTGCGGCATGTCGCTTCCAGGAGGCGTTGCGAGGTCGAGGTGATTGGACGCCTTGGCTCACAGATTGGGGAGGGCTGCTATGGCCGGGTGTACACACTATATTGGGAGGAACTTAAGCAGAGAAGCATCAGAGGTTCAGGCCTGTAACATCCTATTTGACTGTGCACTCCGCCCTGCACACAACCGTTTCAGGCCTTGTGCAAGGGTGGTGAGGGACCGAGGGTATGGCTGTATGAGTGACAAGCCGGATATGGATGACATATCGGGCGAAGCCTTCCCACAGAGCAAACATAGAGTGCTCCGCAAGTTGTGTCAAACGAATCAAGTTCTCTTGCTGCCGGGCTAAGCTGGAAATGAATATCCAGCAGTGCAAGGCCGGGGCTGGACGCATGCTTTGGTGCTTATATGTCACAAGAGACCTAGGGTCGCGCGCTGCCAATTTGTTTCTTCCATCTTCGTGCAACAGATGACCCACAATTAAAGCGACGAGAGTTTGACTATCCACGCTGTGGCGAGAGGGCCTAAACGTGCAGAGTTGGGTAACAATATATGATCTGGTGACCGTGTTCAGGGCTTTCTCCTTACCAATGGAAAGGTCTGCAAAGCAGCGCGTGGCACGAAGCGGCCAGGTCGGCCACAGCCTGCCAGGTAAACCACACCTTCATCCACATCTCGGAGGTGGATGCGGCTGAGCATCGGCGCCAAGTGTATTGTGTTGTTCCAAAGTGTTTGGAGAAGATGGCTGATTGTGTGGTCGACATCAAGTCGGGGAGAAAGGGTGTCCATTACCACGCCGACCAATTGGTTTTTCATGGTTTCTGACGCGTGCAACCACCCGTTCTCTTCCCCGCTCGCCGGCCAATTGTGCCTGAGTCACCCGAGAATTGTTCGGGAAATCAAGCATTGTTCCAGCAATTCTGGCCTTGTCTGTGAGCAATGGTTGGTAAAAGAGTTGCGCCCTTATGCGATCCTCCTCAAAGCTGAACCAGCAGTCTGATTTTCCTGAAGGGCGCCAAAAGAGATTAATTTTGCAGTTGAACTTTGTATGTAGTACAAGCTGTTGCCAACCTTCTGCAAAAGGGTAGGCAATTAGGTAAGCCAAATGCCCTTTGGCAGCATTATTTCTTTCAACAGCTTAGTTTGAGAATGAAGAACTCCAAGCCACATAAAAGAAGTGGAGCCGCGATGACGAATAATGTACGAAAAGAAGAGGAAAGAGAGAACAAAACACATATAATCATGGATTTTTCTTTCAACTGAATGATAGCAATCATATAGAATTAGTCTAAATGAAACTAAAACAGATAAAGTGTGACTAGCCAATGGCCTGTTATATAAATGAAAGAGTGGCGTCATGCAAAGTAAAACAAATAAAAGAAATCGAGCCGAATGGCGTCATGCAAAGTAAACAAATAAAAGAAATCGAGCCCGGGTGACGCTAGAAATGCAGGTCGGCGGGTCGGAGCGCGTCTCCGTATAGCAAAGTTAACTTGCTATGGTCATCGGACCGGCGTCGCCGGATTTAGGGGATGTGCGGTGGTCAAGTCATGTGTTTACAACTTGTCGGCGCATCAACTTGGCCAGGTCAAGTGGTCCTGAAGATCCACCGCAAAGATGGTCCATGCAGTGCGGGTAATGAGTGCTGCAATCCTTCTCCAAGTTTTCCGGCCTTTGTCTTGGCTTGCTAGAGAGGTTGGAAATGCATTTTGTAGAGCGACTTGTTGAGAGCCGTGTCTTCTCTGTACATTTTTTTGCTTTAACAGCGTAATTTTTTAAGGGCCTTTTTGTCTTGACATCAGCCCTTTCTATAGACTCAAAATCACTGCTCGCTGAATTATATATTACAAAATGGTTTGCGCAAGGCCTCCGCGAAACGTTCACAGGGATACGGTTTTTTGGACCTGTTGCCGCGACCCGACTGGAGTCTTAGGGTGCTATGATGTTGTGGGTTTTCCGTCGGATGGCCTAAAGTTTGCCTAGGCCCAGGCTTTTGTCAGGGGTGATTAGGGAAAGAAACCCTACCCAAAGAGTTGAGCAGACTTTTTGCCACCCTTGCTCAAAACACGGTTCCGGAGCAAGTTCCGGAGCAGGTTCCGGCGAAAGTGCCAGAGCAGTTTCCGGAGCAAGTTTCCGAGCAGGTTCCGGGAGCAGGTTCCGGAGCAAGTTCGGGAGCAGGTCATGGAGAAGGTTGTGGAGCAGGTTCCTGTGCAAGTGCTGGGGCAAGTTGTAGAGCAAGTTCCGGATCAGGTTCCAGAGCAGGTCCCCAGAAGGTCCTGGAGGAAGTGCTGGAGCTTGCGGTCCAAGTGCCGCACCAAGCTTGGCAATGATTTGCAGACACGCTGACATGTTGTTAAGGTGACATTGTCATGGCGTAGTGCATCATGTCATTCTGACATGTTGCCATTCCATCAGGTTGCTACGATGGCATAGTCTGCGGTGTCATGTCAACATGGAACCGTTTTGCAACTCTATCATACTAACTTGCAGACATGCTGTCATGCTAGCGTGCTGTGTTTGCTGGCGTGCTAAGCAAACTTCTTGTCACGATGACATGCTGAAGTGTTGTCACACCAAGTCACACCAACATGCTGACATGGTGTCATGATGGTGTGTTGACATTCTCACATGTTCTACAAAGTGGCTGTCGCACCGAGGTGTTCTCAGGGTGTCGCGCTCACATGCTGTCATGCTGGCACGCGACGGTGCGTTCTCGTTTCGGCGCTGTCATGCTTGCGCGTTTGTGGGCACACATATCGCCATGTGGTGATGTTTGCAAGGCGCATTGAGTAAACACCACGAATTTAAAATGTTCCTTTGCTTGGGTCAATCTTTTGGTGGGGGAAAGGAGTTCCAAGGTTTTGAACCTTCCACGCAGTTGGGGTCTCCACGATGGTCGCCCCCGTTGTCGTGAGCGCCTTTTTCGCGCTAAGAGCCTCCGTTGCGAGTGCTTTGATGCGACCAGAGGTATCAACGACTGGCGCCGGTTTCCGCCCAAGGCACGGCATGCCGGGGTTCAGGGTAGCAACCAAATTCCTTGGTTGATGGATCTTGCCAGGGTTCCGAGGTTCCATTCATGGCAACATTGGAAGCAACATGAAAGAGGAACATGGTTGCCAGGACGCCTTGACCAATTTATGGAGATTGGACCGATGGCGGTTCATCCTCCTGGGCCTTCAACACCGGCTGTGCTTCCTCCCCCCCTTCAACACCGGCGTTTTGGTTTTTACGCCTTCTCGCCGGTGAATGAGTGACCAGGCTTTTCAGCGTCGTCGGAGGCTGACTCGTCGCACAGATCGTCAGGAGAGACTCTTTTGGACCCGTCTCTTCAGACAAGTTCTTCGTTCCTGAAAAAAGAACACATCCGGTTCTGCGGTTCCAACCAGTTGGAGAGCTGAACATCCGCCGATGCAAGAGGTGAAACGAACCGGACAGAATGAGCTCTTCACATCAGTGGGCACACGGAAACGAGACGAGGAACACTCCAATGGTAATGTGGATGGCACCCACCGTGGTCACCCACGTGCTCTTCGGATTGAACGTGGTCATCTGGAAAGCAGAGGCCTTCATCCCTCTTTCAACCCCGAGATGATGAGTGAAACAGCTTTTCACTCCAACTGGAATGCGTTTCTCATCTCGCTGAGACTCTCCAAACTGTTTGACTAGTCTCTTCCACTCAGCACATGTCAAGCGTTTCTGGCCACGTGTTGAGACCTCCACAAGCACCAAGAGGCCAAGACACCTTTCTCTGGAAAACAGCTCGTCGAACTCGTACCCCAAGAGATCCACTCTCCCGCCGAGTGCGAGGAACCTGATTTATAAGAGATCCCTGAACAGCGCTAACACCGCAGCTGACCTGTAAGTGCCATTCCGCTTCTGCTCCTCAGCTGCGACGTAGACCCTTCTCCGGACTGTTCACGTCGTCGTCGCGTTGTTTCAGCCAGACTTCTGCAGGTTACATCGCACCGCAGGCGGGGTGGAACACCCGGAGGCGGTGTGGATCCATCGGCTTGATTGGAGTAGAGCGCTGGAAGTCGACTGACCAGGAAGCCGACGTGAATTCTTCGATCTTTTTCGGCATTTTGTCAGCCAGGGGCCAAAGGATTTACAATACATTTTTGGTTGAGTTTAGACCCCGTTCTTTTTCAGCTACGTACTTGTTATAATTTGCGGGCATTGGTGAGGGGTTTCGCGTTTGGACCGGCCTGGTTCATGGTTCATTGGCTCAGGGAAATTCGGAAGACCTGAAGAATCTGATCAAAGAAATCAGTTGATCTGGTCAAGTCCTTTCGGCCATCGGTCAAGAACAGAGCAACAACTTTTCGATCTCGGTTTTTGGATGGTCTCGTCATTGACTGAGCCCAGCCCAATCACTTGAGTCGGATATGATTTTACAGGTTTCATCTACTCAGAATCTATACTCATTTGAGTCGCTCGAGTCTCAAAAAGGATGGAGCACGGCAGCACGTGTTTTTTCTCATCGAAGAAGACGGCGGGAGGGGCCCCAGGGCCGATGGTTCTTCTATCAGAGTCTGCTCGTCTCACCAGAAACATGCTCCCCCGGACAGCAGAAGGAGCTCAAGAAGGAACTCAATGCTGGCTTAGGGCATCCCCCCATCTTGATTGAACTATACTGTAGATCTCACATTCTGGCGCGACTGTCAGGCTGCGGCATCGACCTCAGCGCCTAGATTGCCTGCAGCGACCTCAGACATGGTGTGAGTGTGGCCAGACCGATTGTCGTTCTCTTTGACCAAACGGATCGAAGGGAGGTCACCTTTGACAAGTGAACGTCGAACCGAAGATGGAGACCGTCTCCACGAAGCACGGGGAGTTAAGGGAAGCACGGGGAAAAAGGGAGAGAGAGAGATTTGGAAGAGGGATGAGCAATACAGGGAAGGTCTTGAATATGAGGACTTCGATAACTCTCCGGGCTGGTGACATGTCGATGTTCAAGAAGTCACTCCAGCTTGAGGATGTACACTTCCGGATATCGCAAGCATATGCACAGTGCAACCTCGAAGCAAAGCGCAACCACGTTCTTCAGGATCAGATGGGGGGGGCGACAAAAGGGAAGAAGTGAACCACCCACCCCTTTGATCCGCCAGGAGACTTGTTTCCTTTTTTTTTCGGGATCTGATGGAGGGAGGTTTGTACTCGGCGAAGGTTCGGTAAGGTGGTCTTGCGGACCTGTGGTATCGCGGAGCGCGTCCACACCGATTCTCCCATCTCCGGGAGAGGTAGATAGTTGATGCAATTACACTCCCGAAAACTCACATGGACCCGGGTCCAATGGCCTCCTGGAAGATGGTTTTCCTCTACCAACCAACCAATGGTTTTCAGGGTCCATGGGATCGTCTTCCAGGGTGTATTTGATGAACTCCTGGATGAAATCAAGCCTCCAATCGGTCCCAGGGATGATACGGACCAATATTTCAAGTGTTGGCACCGTCGTTCTTCGACTGGTGCCGTTTTCAGGCCGCACCCCTGATGCCAGCGGCACGGTCCATGGCGCCGGCCTATTCAGCTGCAGCTTGGCAGGAAGATCATCGGCAGATCATGTAGATCATAAAGCCTCCCACATGAAGAGGTTTGTCAATATGGTCAATCCAACTGGTGGGGTGTACCCACCAAGTCCATACATCGTACACATATGAAGAGGCTGTTCAATCCAACTGGTGGGGCCTCATTTTAATCAAGTCTATCATCAGTCTATCTATCAGGGTGTGAACATCCTATTGGGGTGCTCCTTGGAAGGAGGCTTTGAAACTCTTGTGACGAAGGGTTGAGCAAGACGGAACCCCTTCCGAACCTGAACACAGAAACGAAGAAAAGACAGAGGTTTTTGGCCGAAAAGCGTTGGGCTTGGATTTGATCGACCCGCAGTTCCGGCCACGGAAAGGGAAGGACTGAAGGTTATTCAGAGACCCTTTTCGATCGAGCGTCACATTGTGACACCGACTCACGAGTCGAGTTGAGCAGATGGTCAGAGTTGACTTCAATCTCTTGGAACCCAATCGGACTCGGCAAGGACTGACCGGTTCAACCGGCGCGTTATCGGCAGCACCTGGTTCAGACCGAGGTCGGCGCTTGCATGCCCTGCCCAAGCGCGCTGGAGGACGCGCAGAGTCTGCGCCCATGCGGCCGAACGGAGTCTACATGCCTCCGGAGCCTGGAAATATAACCTCTACAAAGTGGTGGTTTTCCACCTCCATGCTGGTTGGAGTCTAAAAAGTTCCCACGGATACGTCACCTCAAAGACGGTGGCGTCTTCTTCGCACCGCACCGCCCCGTCCGGCGCGCGCTCGGCCCTACCGAGGAAGAACGGATTCACCTACCGTTACCAATGATCTTTTCTTTGGGGTAGGTGATGGAACTGGGGACGCCCCACTGAACTCCACTCCGAGCGCACAAAGGGTATCGATCCGTTTGAACATGCGAAACTCGGGATCCGACGTACGCGCCGCAGACGCGTACGTCGCTCTTCGCACCTGCGCACCTTCGAGCCGAGGGGAACACACCGCGCCCGACCTGTCGTCCACGGCGCGGAAGACCTGCCGACTCGGTACGGTCCAGGTGAAGGGACGTTCCTGTCGCCGCAGCCGAAGGGTTTCAGGGCTTCATCCGATCACAACTCGGGATCACAGACAGACTGAGTTCACTTGTAGACACTGTTTCTGTTTGGGTATTATAGTACTATTATATACTATAGTACTATATATCGGAAAAACGGAGTAAAACCGATCAAGTTTTTGACTTCTCTATCTCCTAAGAGGTCCCACACCCGTCTTTGACGTCTTGGAGTCTTGGACGGATGTGGGAACCAGGAGGCCTTCGACCGGCTGGACGTGAACCGGGACGGTGTGATTCAACGCTCGGAATGGGATGAGGCCATGCAGGCGGGTCAAGAGAGGGTGAGGAGAGGGCGAGGAGAGGAAGAGACGAGACGAAGTGCTGATGTTCTGAGTGCCTGAAGGTGTTTCAAACATGATGAATCCCCCTTGGTGGGAAGAATTTTTGTTAGCCAATCCCTGAGAAGCATGAACTTGGGCCATCTCTTGAGATAGTTTTGGGACAGTTTCACCAAAAGGGTGGAGGTGCGTGGGCAAAGGGCACTGTGAAGTGGCAGGGCACTGGGCAACTTGCGAAGGAAGGCGATGGGAGGCACTTGTGACGGCTGAATAGACTCAATAAGAGTTTGGTTATGACCCATCAGGAGTTGATGATTGGCCAATTCTGGGAATGATCCCGGCCATGAGAGGCATCGGGTGAAAAAACCCGCCCCCAAAGAATTGGGGACAGTCATGACTGGTGCAACTGAGACATACTGAGCAGTTGGAAGGTGTGCACCATAGACTAGTAGGCCCATTGTAGAGTGAAGACCATCGGGCGCAATTTGTTTTGGGGCTTCGCTGGATGGGATTTTGTGGGACACCCAAGATGAGTGATTGGCAGGCTCCTTTGGTGCAAGCACACCCTGCAGCTTCACAGGCGGATCGGCTAGACCAGGGGTTGTGGGCTTTGCATGGGTCCGAGTAATGTGACATAGATATCAAGGACAGAGTGAAGGCTATCCCACATCCTGAATGTGGTCGAAGTACTCACCCAGAGGCACTCTAGCACTCAGTGGTTTTGCCGCAAAGAACGTGCGCTGCGCAGAGATGATTTGATTCATGGTCATAGTCAGCACTTCTAGGATTCAGGCGCTTGCCACCCTCACCGAATTCCCTGTTGGGCATGCTTCCTCCGCGATGATTCTCGCACTGATCAGTGGGGGCCACCCATGGATCATGGATGGATACAGGGAACTCCAGGCGAAAAAACCCAGCAATCAAGTCCTCTGGAGCTGTCAGGAGTCCTGTTGAACAAGTCAAGTGAGGTAGCAAAATCTCCGAAGCGATGGGCTCTCAAAAGGAGATCCAACGACCATACCTGTGGGTTCTGCTTTCTGTGAGCCCTGAGGTAGCAAATTCTTGGTATTTTTCCCGCAGCACCCAAAAAGTTTAATTTCTGCATGGTCTTCTGTATTAGATAGGTGGCTCGAGTTCAGGACTTTCCCAAACTTCTTTGCCCCCAAATAGTCGAATTTGACTTCTATAGGGATTTCTGGAGAACCCACAAAAAGACACGGGACGGGGTTTCGGCTTCTCATTCCATGCGTGTTCCGTCCCTCTTTTCCACGGGAGACACATGTGGAGACTCCCGACGGTCAGCCGGGGCTTCCCGACTGAAGCTGAAGACCGATTCCTTGTCAGACTCTTTCAGGACTGGCGCTCCGCCTTCTTCCATGGCTGGGAGACCGCGCCGGGCGCGGGTGGCCTCCGGCCGATGATGGTGCCTTGGTTCCAGACGGAGAGGTGGCGATTGGGTGGGCGGAGGTTGACTGTGGAGATTCACGGGTGTTTACATAAAAAGTGTACAGGACATCTACACCAGGGGAGGAGGCTTTACAATCCATGTTTACATCAGGTGGCGATTTGCTGGTAAATTGAGGCCATGTGTGACCCATCTGGGCGGATCACGGGGCGGGATCACCCGGGCGGATCAATGTGCAGAAAGCCACGGGTTTTCCTGAGGACTCATTTTTTCATGAGGTGAAAGCACCCACCTGGCCTCAGGGTTCTTTTGGAACCTTTTGGAACGGGGTGCGAAGACCACCAGACCACATCCGGGTGGTCCTTTGTTCGGAACGCTGACACAGCAAACGGTCGTTTCCACAGGGCTCCTTAGCGAGAAGATCGTTCTGGAGCCTGGTCTTGCGCATTTAGATTCACTTATAGAGATTTCAACAAAGAACTCAATTGGAACCCGGAGGATTGATTGGTTCCTGATTCTTCACAGAACTCAATCCCTAAGGATCCAAGTACCCTCTAAGAAGGTTGGACTGGGGTGGGTGCCAGGAGGGTCCAAGGACCTTTTGAGGAGGTACGACTGGATCCCTAGGGAATTGCAACCAATTGCAGAAGAGGGTCCGACCACCACGACCTGGACGGTGTAGAGACGAAACGGAGAGGACGAGCGGGTCTTGGGGAGTTTCCAAGAGAGTTCATTGAAAAGCTTCTTGTGACGTTCGTAGCGAACCTTGCTCCTAACTAGTAGTGAACCTTGCTCCCAGTAGCTACGGCCAGGAGCCCCGTTCTACTAGCGTTCTTGCTCTTACTTCGTAGCGATGCCCGAAATGCTCCGTTCGTAGCTTATGTCATGTTACGTCGCCATGTTGCTTCCTGAAGCTCTGAGAAAGGGATGGTTCCAGTGACCCCCGTCACGCTGTTCGGTCTGAGACTTTGTCCTCTTTCAATAGGAGAAATCGAAGACTTGAGGACAGAGAAATGAAACAAGTGATGAAGAGCAAGAGGGCAGAAATGAATCCAACAAAAGATATCATGATGTTAAGCATCACCATCAAGCAACAAACATATCATCTTCATCAAGTCTCCCCTTTGTGGCACAAAATGACGCTCAGATCCAGTCTGCCGAGGCTGAGCCAGTGACATCACAAAGGGAATGAGGGGAGCGGTTTTTCTCGGCTGGAAGCTCCAAATGAAGGCCATGGTCCTTTGCAAACTCCTTTCCAAACCAGGAAGTCATTATCAGTCAAAAGGACAGATTCTGATCTTCAACGCAAACCAGGGGCTTGAAGGTCTACTGTGGCCATAAGAAGGAACGTCCAAGTGAAAGTCCTTGTGCCATTCGCCTTCAGCCGCCGTTTAGCCGCCTTCTTAGACCGCGCCACGCCAGAAACCAAGTCACACGTGGCGCAAAGTCACACGTGGTGTTTGTGGTCTCTGGCAGAACAGTCACGGATTGGTGCTCATTGGAGTTTAGGTGAATGTAAATGTGAATCTCCTTGAAATCGAGCCTGTTTGAGAGATGAACCCATCTGCAGGGCGACCTTCTTCTTTTTGTGTGCAGTGTAGAACCCTCCATGCCGCATGCATCATTGGGAAGAGTGCATGATCATCAGAAACTTACATCCTCCTTGTTGGTTCTTCTTTTCCAAGGTCGCTGATCGAGGGCCACCTGCAAAACCTTATAAAATCTTATAACCACCTGTTGTATCCTTGTTGTCCATGTTGCGAAAGAAATCTTTTGAAATATGACATCGACCGGGCTCGATATGCGGACTGCTATATATACCAATGGTCGTCTTCCGTTATGTGCTTTATTTCTTTTTGAGAAGACATGAGCCGGGGCAGCATACCTTTTCGGGCAGCTGGGTTTCGTGTTCAGATGCGTTGATCAGTGACAGTGACTGAGGACATGTGTCCAATCCTGAAATTCGCAGCGGCGACCAGCGACACGTCCAGCTCGTCCAGCGGGTAGGTCTGACCAGCCGAAGTGCTGTGAGTGCTGTGCCCAGCGAGGAGCAAGGCGTTTAAGGTCCGTATGTAAGGTCTAGGGTTGGTGGTGCGAGATGATGGAAAACCATGGAAAACCTCGGAGAGACTCTGCAGTGGAGAAGAAAGGACATGATCAGCTACTCTCACTACTGCTAACGCATAATCCAATCTATAATCAGCTACTCTCACTACTGCCAACGCATAATCAATCTGTAATCAGCTACTCTCACTATACTGCTAACGCATAATCCACTCTATATATACCGGACCAGTAGTATATTTTTTTGTATGTTTACATTTGTGGAGAAGAGAGGATCTGAAACCTGATGTTGTCTGCGAACATCGAGCTTTAGCAGGCGAACATGGTTTTGCAGAAGACATCTCATCCCCGGTGGTCGTTGGGTTTTGTGCAAGCCATAAGGAGGCGAAAGCCACAGCCCCCAAACACATGGCCATGCGAAACCGTTGTGCGTGAAAGAGAGATCTGACCAAAACGGCCAATTGTAAGAAGAACACATCACGATTGCTTCCTCCTTTCTTGGGGCCTCCGCCTGTGACCCGAGACTTATCTTCGCCTTCATCGACTGTCCGACGCCTTTTGCTCCTTGCTGGGCAGAAAAAGCACACGCGACAATGAAGCGCGAGGAGCTTGAAAGGGCCCGGTGAGCTCGTAGTTTTTGGTGGCCCGCAATCCGAGGGGTGGGGGGTGTTGAAAGCTGGAGATGATCTACTTATTTCAGGGAGTTCACAGTGGCTATATATAATATGTCAAGAATAGTCTAGGACTTCTTTTACAGTAGGAAAAAACATAATCTTTGGACTTCGAATCGGCGTCTGAGGTTCTTCTTTGGAAGCTCTGAAGCTCAGGGCTATGAGCGATCCCGGACCAGGGCTATCCAGTTCTTCCATCATCTTCCCCATGCATGTGGGCCCTCAGTTTGGTGTATGTGGACCCCCATCTCAAAGACATCTTGCGGTGCCAGTGCCATCTACTCTGAAACGTCCTGGATCTTCCAACTATGCCAAATGTCTGCTTTTTCATCCATAAAGGTCAACCAAAAGGCAGACATTTGGCATAGTTGGAAGATCCATGTTTTCTCCATGTGAAGCAAGGCAGCGCGCTACTCTGACCGTTGTCGCCTTCGGTCAACAGGTCAAGTCCGGTCGTCCTCGTCCGGTCGGTCCTGGGTGGGTCTCGGTCACAGGGGCTGGGTACCCCTCTCGTGCCTGACCGCTCATCACGGAACTCGGGGCTGTTCTCACTATAGCTGGTATACCAGTGGTTTCAACGTCTAAAACCGACCGAACAAATCCCTGGTTCCTTATAATAGTGGGTTGCCTGAGATGCACTGGGGGATGTTTTCTCGGGACGGCGATGTCATGTCTTGGCTGGGACGGCGGTCTGCGGGAGAGCGGCGGCGGGGGGGGGGTGGAACAAGGGCGCGTGAACGGGTCTCCGGTGGGCGCAAGAATGTCGTGTGTGTGACAGAAGTGGCCGTGGGTCAATAGGGGGAGCCTGCAGGGACCACCGAGAAATGAACAGACAGGACGGGTCCTACCAGGATTTCGGGCTCCGGGTTTTGACCCGCCAAGTGAGGGCTCCGTGCCTGGACATGGTGCTCTTTCGCTTTCGAAGTCGAGTCATTCCATGTGCGTGGAGACCAACAACTGAGATCGACAGAAAGTGGAACCCTCCGGGCTCGGTGGCCCCACTGACTGGAGCACCTGGACAAGTAACACATGGTGCCTGGCCATTTTTAGAATCGTTTTCAATTATATAACCCAGACACTCCATGGGACTGCCATATATGCCTACATTGACCCCCAAAACCACCACCCCAACTGATCGGTAAATATACCAGTCCCATGGAGTGTCTGGACTGCAGCTCCTTTTTTTGGGTCGTTTCTTTTTTGGTCTGCAGAGTCTGAAGAGATGTCCGGTTTCATTTTGAGAGAATCACGTCAATCACGGGAAGGTTTGCACTTCGGGTCACTGCACGGGGAAAGAAATGGGCCAATTTGGCAAGCAATTCTTCTGTTCCCCAGCCGTGGCAAGCAAAGGTCTCTAAATGTTTCAAGTCTTGACAGGCTCCTAAGTTCAATCGATTCTGGTCTGACTATGTAGCGAAAGAATGCGAAAGACCATCAGGGAAACACCACCATCTCTCCTGGTGGTGGCGGACTGACGCCACAGCCATATCAAGGGCATGCCATCTTCCCCCCGTGGCGGAAAAGGGTTAAACATACACCCTAGAAGGGTGTATCACCCCATATCACCCGGTATCACCTCATATCACCCGATCAACACGACCGTCCAGGTCCACCGGTGCGCGACGTGCGCGACGTGCGCGACGTGCGAGCGCAGCTACGTTGGATCAAGAAGCGACGGCGAGGTTCGCTGTTTGGACTTTAAGAAGCAAAGAACGAACCACTTCCAGCCCACCCACGCGAAGTGGGGGCCCCAAGGACCCAGCCCAGATCCCCCCAAAAAGGATCGAACAGGTTCCCAACAAATCCACGGTTGCTTGTGACATGTATGTGCGAGAACATCCTGAATTCGATGAGTAGGGAACTTGTTGACATGGATAGAAGAAATCAGAGCCAGGCTTTGCAGACGTTTCTTGAAGCCACTCTTTATCAAGGTGTTTTTCCTTCCAAATGTGCAGAGGGTCTAGCGGCTCGGCTCGTAGAAGTCCACACTTCGTTCATCGAGGCCAGGCCGTGTAGCATCCACACTGGGCTTCCACAAGCCAGAAGCGTGGCCTTCATCCACCCGGCTCTAAAGGAGGCTGGGTGTAGAACTACGGCCCATCCCACTGCCAGACGAACAGGACTCCAGGACTCCAGTCCCACCCGCTGAACCCAATGGAAAGCGGAGATCCCAGGTTTAGATTGTACTACTTGGTGATAGGCTTGGGTCTAACATGCTGATGAAAACAGGATTTCTCAAGGCTTCGCAAGCCGCTACGAAGCCGGTTACGATCAGCTGTATGGACAGTCCGTCCTGTTTTCTTCACGCGCCAAGCGTCGAGAACCGTCGCCTGTTCTGCCCTGGATGGGACTCGGAGCTCCTCGGAGCTTCGGTTACCTGGTGCTTCTGCTCTGTCTGGCGGGGAGGCTCAGGATCGGATGGATCGGATGGATCGGAGCGATGGAGGGCCGCGGCCGTGGAGATGCTCCGATGTGTGCGGCACGTGCGTGTCGTGCGTGGACCAGCGATGGTGGAGATGCTCCGAATTGGGTGCAAGGATTGCGCAGGACGCCCCCGAGAAAGTCGTCGTAGTCGTGGATTCCCCTTGGAACTGGGAAACGTAGTAGTCATCGGGAGATGATGAAACAAACAGTGGCTAGGAGATGAAGACTTCATTGTTAATTCGCATCCAAGGGCCGTTTAGGAGACAGAAACTTTTCAGAGGTGTCTGATGCTTGCTCCGTGCTGGTGCTTTGCTCCGCTTGCTTGGTGAATGGCATGTGTCCTCGACTTCGGGGGTTGAGTCGAATCCAAAAAATTGAGACCACCACCAGGAGCCTCACTGCCAGGTCACCAATTGAGACCTGTTAGGGTCCAACAACCCTCAACTAACAGCCTGGCCAGGAGGGTGCTGGCAGAGACTGCTCTTTGGGTCGAAGAACCTGGAGCGTCCACCATCTGGCGCTTGAATACATCGACCGATCGGTCGAAGAACCGCTTCGCTGATGGTTTGCAGCCTTCCGTTAAAATTGCTCCGATGATGCTGGCTGGCTGCTGAAGGTGTTTGGAACCAGGATGAAGGGCATCCCACCCAAGAAATTCGAGTATTGTACCTTCTCAGGTACCGTGATTGGAGACATAGTTATTTAGGTTTGGTCCAGTCGTACCTTCGAACACCACCCTGAACAGAACTCACAGGTCGCCAGACTCGCCAGATTTCTCGCCAGACCTTTGGGGCATTTTCAAAAAGGTCTTAATCTTTTGGATTCAACTCCACGTGGAACGCCATAGATGGCATTTTACGCCCTTGGTTTGATTCTGTGGTTATGAAATGGGATGCCCAGCGCGTCGGGCCTTTTCAACCTTGAGCCAAAGTAAGACGAAAACACTCGTAGCGCTTGGCTTTCTACGAGGTGTGGTTGTACACTTTTTGATTTGTGCACTTCATGAATCACACTCCCCCTGGCTTGGTTCAAGCCATTGAGAGCTAATCATCTGACTCGCTTGAGTCTTCACGAACCCTTGAGGTTCCAGAAAAACCGCGACGCGGCTCCCAAGGGTCATTTAACCTGGGCCTCACTGGCATCTGCGTAGACACCCCCATCCAAGTTGGCGTCTCCTGATCTTGGTCCTCAGCTGGTGGTAGTACAGGATCCGGTCCTCTGTAGATTTCTCGATTCGGGGGTGCCAAGTTGCTTCGCACCACCCTCCACCCTTGAGCGGTCATCTCGTCCAAGGTTGGCGGTTCTTCATCCTCACTGGCCAGAGTTCTCCTCCAGTCAGGTCTTTCTGCACTGCTCGACTCACTCTCCACCGGCCGGTTCTCCACAGGGGACCCCGCATCAACGGTCAAGTCCCGCATGAATGCCAGCCAATCATCCCGTACATCATCCTCCAGCGTAGTTCCATCATGTCCTCCAGGTCCTTGTGCCCAGTAGGCTGGGTCGTAGTCCCACCCTCTGTCAATTTCCTCACTCACTAAGGAGAGCTCTTGAGACTCTCCCGAGGTTCCCGAGCCTTCGACCTCGCCTCGCTGTTGATGTCCACGAAGCCCCTGCCCATAGCCACCAAGACCACTGCTGCTCATTCCCTCAGTCATCCTCGTATACTGAGCTCCGACGTAGTTTCCATAGGATCTGGTTCTGGTTCCTGACGATCCGGTCGGACATCTCGAGGCAACCCTTCAGCCACTGGACCATGTTCCGCAATGCCCGGCATTGGCGGTGGCCCGGAGGTCAATGAACTGCTCATCGATGAAGACGTCCGATCGCCCTGCCCTCTGGTAGTCGAGGAACTGGATGTCGAAGTCAAAGTCCCCGCTGTTGGGTCTGGATGAAGATCCCGAAAAAATGTGTATCCCACCCAGGCATCCCTCGCAGGTGGCTGCGTGTCTCTCCTCCAATCATCATCTCTGATCACCCTTTCTCCATGACACCACAACACGGTGATTCTCCGATCTTGAATGTGGCTACAATCCATGGGTGTTCGTCGATGGATTGGATGGAAAGGTCTCATTCTCTGCCTCACATGGTGCCTGACCCACCACCCTCCGGGAAGTCGGTCCCACCGGTCTTGACCCCTCGAAGGCATGGTAAATCTCCTCCAGGTCCAGGGTCGATCATAATCCACCGCTGGAGCCTCTCCAGTGGTCGTTGACGATGCCCCTCCAAGTTCTGCTGAATGTTCCCCTCTCAGAGCGGCCAATCGCGCCCTCTTAGGGTTGCCGCCATGGCTCACAACTCAGGGCTAGGTTCAGTGATGGGTTCCTCCTCCGACCCAACATCTTCCCCGGGGATTGAAGACCGTGCTCGTCCATAATGAAGCGACCATGCCAGTGTGGTTTTCAAATATCCCAACATGTGACTTCCATACTCCAAGACCCGCCTTGGTGTTCGGGTCACTTGTCTGCCCATCCAAGCCACTCCATAAGCCAGGTCAGGTCGGCTCCTCACTGACACCCACAGTAGTTCACCCACCACGGCCTGCGCCTTTCTCACGTCCTCCAACGTAACCTCCGCCTCCGGCTCTTCATCCGGCACCCCAGGAAAGGGCACTGTAGCAGGGGTCACTGAAGGATGCCTACTCAGGAGCTCTTGGATGTAAGCCTGTTGCCCCACATAGAGCCCACTGTCCTCATCTGCGGAACTCCATCTCAGCTCGAATCCACTAAACTTCGTCCATCTGTCGCTGTTGACCCACTCCGCTGGGCTGCACTTCCACTCCATCTCGATCCTGCTCAAGGCTCCCTTCACAATGTCCTTGGCACCAACGACAATGAAGTCATCCACATAGACCCCAATGAATCCCTTCGGAGGCGGTTCCTCCTGATCCAGTGGTCTTCTCTCAACAATCTTCCAAAGGTTAGGTTCCGGCGTCTCCCGAAGCTCCAAAGCCGCCCCTTCATGTTGCCATTGAAAGGATCTCATCAGCCGATTTCGATAGGTTGCCCAGTCGGCTGGCGAGGATCGAAGCCCATAGAGGGCGTGCTGCACCCGCCATAGCTCCCGAGGTCCAACAATGCCAGCTTCCACCAAAATGCGCGGCGGTTTCACCACCACCAATCGTCGACTGGAATCCTCCCTAGGTGCCAGAAGGAAAGCCGTCTTGACATCGCAAGTTGCGATTTCCCAGCTCATTGCCGCAGCTTTCCGAAGAAGGCATCGGATTGTTGTTCCGTCAGCTCCGCCAGCGTACAAGTTCTGGGACTCCTCCTTGCCTGAAGTTGCGGCTCCACTGCCATCCAGCGCTTCAAGCCGGTTACCACAGACCACAATGCGCGCTCGCTTCTTCCCATGTGGTGCCTTAATAGTTGGAACCAACATCCCAGGCGCTACCTCCATCGCCTCAAACAATGGATCCTTCTCCAACTCTTCCATAGTTGTCGGACTCAATGCCCGCGTTCCCTCAATCAATGACTGGTACTCATCCGTCATCGGGGGCACCCACGCCGCAAGCTCCTGTCGGACTCGTTGAAGAGGTACTGCATAGGTTTGCAACACCGCCGGAGGAGGAGCTCCAGGATCCTGCAGCTCCAATCCTGCTTCATTCTTCACCGCAGCCAACCTCACCGACTCCAGCTTACGATGTTGGTCCTCCAAATGATCTTCTTGCACCAGTAGTCCAGCCTCCAAAGCAGCCATCCATCGCCCTCTCTGACGGCCCTGCTCTTCTCCAATGGCCTGATGGCGCAACTCTTCACTCCACAACCTCTTCATGAGCAAGTGGGACCTCACCTCCATGGCGTGCCACTCCTCAGCTTGATCCCAAGAGCAGTTGGAGCCCTTCCATAGCCCTCCAGTCCGCCGCTCTCGGTAATCATCTACATACTCAAGGTTGCCACCACAGAAGCCACAGGAAATCTGGGTCGCCTCGACCAAGTCCAGCGTGCCTTCCACTGCTGCCTGCATGGAACTCATCACCACCCCACAGCCGCGAATATCTCTTGGGTTCTCAGTCGGGACCTGATGAGGATGCCTGGGCTGGAGGAGTCCGCAATCTCCACAACACACCATCGCCAGCTCCCCAAGGCACTCCCAGGCTCTCCACCCCGACTCATCCCCTTCCGACTCCGGCTCCGTTTCATCGACCACCTCATCGACATCCTCCTCATCATCCACAAACTCCAGGCCACCACCACTGAAGTCCCGCTCCAACTCCTGCAAGTAGTCCCTCAGCGGACCGGAGACCTCCAACTCCACGGCATCCACCTCTTCTTCATCATCTCCCCCGACCATTAACTCCATTGGATGATCAGTTGAGTCCATCATGCCATTCACATCCTCTCCAGGTTGCCATACCGATAAGGAGTTCAATGGAGTAGGTTCCGAATTTTCCAAAATTGGACTGCTCCCAGGGTCTATCACCGGTTCAGTGGGTTCAGTGGTCTCCCCCCCAGCTCGTAGTACTCGAAGAGCTGGTTGGACTCCTGCATCAAAATGTCGAGCCACCACATCTTTTAGTGGGTGCGGGTCGAAGGACTGTTTTCCTGTCAGTCGATGTCTGATGCCCTTGTCCTTGAGGTCCACCTCCTGCAGCTCCAGTACCGCTTCCAAGGTTTTCGAAGGGGTCACCACCGTCCGAAGATGTTGAATTCTGTTCTGTTTGTCCTTGGCTACCCAACCAGATGACATCAACGGACTTGGTCCCAACACCTGCACTCTCTTGAACGGGTTGGTCAGCTCTCCCGTTTTGTGATGCCATCTCTTGGCTTTAGCCATGACCATCGATCCGAAGTTGACCATTGGCTTCGATCCCACTCCCAGCCTCTGAAGTTGTATGCGAAGTCGTTGAGTAGCGGCATGCCTCAGTGCGCATGGCCAGAGCGACGCCTCCACCTTGCTGGCGTGAAGAAGGAGCCTCATCCTTCGCTTGAGCTGCAGAAGCTCTGCCTCCACCCTGCCATTTGACTGGCTATCATCACCTGATGTCATCGTGTGGACCATCTCCCGGGCCTGAACCCACCTGGCCACAGCCTTTGTGAGGAAGGACTTCTCCCTGTCCGAATGCAGCCGACATGGCCGCACCCCCAACATCCTGTAGTGGGCATGCACCTTGGAGAGCGCCTGCACGATGTCCTCCACCCCTCGAGATTGCATCGGCTCTGCAATCGTGAGATTCTGTAGAGGAACCTCTTCCTGAGCTCGTTCCAGTGCCGCTTTCATGTTGAGCTCTATCACCTGCTCCTCGGTCGCCATCTCTACGTCTTCCTTCTCCTCCTCAATCTCCACCACATCCTTGACCTCCGCCTCATGGTCCAGCGGTTCTTCTGGTGTCCCAGCTAGATCCTTCGCAATCGGCACCGGGATTGTCGCCACCATCACATACTTGCACCACTGGTTTAACCCAAGGTCTCGCCCCTGCTCAAACGGACCCATGATGTCCACCGCCATCACAAAGGCAGACGAGGCGTTTCTGGATGTGGGCTGGAGAACCCCATCGCTTCCACACAATCCCGACAATCTCTCCTGTAGGGAACGTGCTCCTGCTTGATGTGCCTCTTCCATTCCTCAACATCCATCTTGGCCAATCCAATGTGGGCCCTCCCCCCAAACCGAAGGTTCAAGGCCAACCCAATGGCCTTCACCAGACCACTGGACCATCGTGCCCACGACCGAGATGCTCTCATCCTTTCCGGTAGCCCTCCCTCCACCGGGTCACCATTCTCCTCAACAATGGCCATTCAAAGAACGATGGATGATCGTGCCCTGTTTCAACTCCATCTCCCACATAGCTGGCAGGGTCCTGCGGAGATTCCAGTAGAAATGCCACCGGATCAGATCCTTCCCGATGTTCCTCCGCAAGATGCCACAGCCCTACCTGCTTCACCACCAGTGCGGAATCCCCTCGCACTTGTTCACGCTCCCGGGCAGTCAGCCCTTCCAGACCCCAGCGATCAGCGCCACGGCCTCTCACCCTTCTCGGTCCTGGTGGCCCCCTGCACCTCAATCTGCTTGTAGTACGGCAAGGCGGGCCGCCAACCACTCCCTTCACCTTCCCGGATCGACTGCCTGCTCCACCACCCAAGGCCTTGATTGTCGGTTGAGCTCCCGCTACTGGTTGTAGGACTGCCCCCGAACTGGTAGTTTTGGCTGACGATGGATGCGGCATAGTCAACGCCAAATCCTCCGCCTCCGCCTGGAGAAACTCCGCAAACTCCTTGGTGGTGGTCAGCGTGGGCCTCCGATCAACCTCAAGTTCCTGCCGAGCTGCTGCAATCCTGAATCCCACTTGGCTTCCTCCATGCTTCGTGAGGTTCTCGGCAACCTTGGACAAAGCCTGAATCAAGACCATCGAGTCCGGGATCGCCACATGCAGTTCTTCGGCTCGACAAATCCACCTGCGCCACGTTCGAATGGCGCCCAGTGTGTCCTGGATAGAGCTGCCGCACTTCACCTCCGTCAGGCTGCGCAACAGATTACCCCTCTCTGCATTTCCACCAGGTTGGTAGATGGTGAAGAGCTTGTACAAAATCGCCTGAGTAGCCACCCTTCGACTTGCCACAATGTCCTTCCTCACCGGTTCCGGAAGCGCAGCCAGCAAAGTCGAGCTCGCCCGCTGATCCAGTCGTTGGAACCGTGGGGACACCTGCTCCTCCACCTTAATCCTCAACCGCCCCAATGGCGTCGCCAACAGCCATTCATTGTATTTCACCTCCACCTCTCGCTGCGCCCAATCCCAAAACTCCCTCGACGACGTACTGAGGTCTCCCATCAGCGGAGAAATCACCGTCAGCCAGTCCCCAAAGAGCAGGGCCGCATTCTCAGTTGAAGGTGATGGCAACTGTGGCAACTCCAAGTTCCGCATTGCCTCAGGCAGTGCAGCTGTCACCGACTCCAGCGGCTTCATCACATTCGCCGCCGCATTCAACCCACTTCCATGACCTCGAAGATCGTGTACTACTCCTCAGGTGCTCCACCAGGCTTAGCATTCTCTCCCATCGGCTCTTGAGGTCCTTCAGCTTTCGCACTCGGCACCGACGTAAACGATGCTGAATCTCCAGCGTCCGTCATCTTCTTCACTTCCCGAGCAAAGGTCTCCTCGGCCTCCCTCAAGATACGTTCTCGAAGACGTTCAACTTGTCCCAACCCCGGACTTGGCGCCGGAGGTTGGCCTCTAGTCACCTCAGATTCCCGAACATGTGCCTCACCCTTGGCCATTTGCTGCACTGAAGCGCTCCAGAAGGGATTCACTGTCCCCAAGGGTCCCACCGGAGTGGTAGGATAGGGCTCCAGCACCCGAGGATGTAGGTCATCACGTCCCGCTCCAGCCATGTAAGGTGAAGCTCCCATGCGCTCCATTTCAACTCCGCTCTGTCGCAGAGGAGTGCCCGCCGCCAGCCCGTGCCCTGGGAAAACTCCACATCCGGTACCGGCATGACCTCCCTGATCACCGGGCCGAAGAAGAGGATCAAGTAGGGTCGGCTGGGAACTTGGCCTTTGAAGAGCAAGTTGCAACACTTCAAATGACTGGCGAACTGCCTCCTGCAAATGCCCAAGCCCCATCGCCTGGCCTCTTGGGTCATTCACCAACTGTCGAACCTCTTGTTGTCCTTGGTGACCACTCGATGCAGCCACCATCGGAGGGCCTCCCTGGCCCGATTCCACCACCGCCGCGCCGCCCAGCCGTTTCATCTCAGCTGCCCTCACAGGGACTGATTGCGCCCTCATGGCTCTGCCCTGCATCTCCTCCTCGATGAGCGCAGTGGATCTGCCGCCTCCTTCCGCTCGCGGGATCGCAGCTGCCGGCGTCGACGCTGTTCCATGGGGACCAACACTTCCCTGTCCTCGTGACAGCGGAAGGTGGACTTGGAAAATGAAAAAAGTCACTTTGGGCTCATAACCTGTGGTTATGAAATGGGATGCCCAGCGCGTCGGGCCTTTTCAACCTTGAGCCAAAGTAAGACGAAAACACTCGTAGCGCTTGGCTTTCTACGAGGTGTGGTTGTACACTTTTTGCACAGATTCATAGAGGGGATTAGCCCGGTCGCAACCAATAGCTACCATTTATTTGGATCTACACACAGACCAAACTGACCCCTCCCTTTCCACGCCCCGGACGTCGACCCACGGACGTCCGATCCTTTTGGCTTCGCCCGTCCCCCCGGAGGCCTTCCCCGTGCGCGGTGCGGGTCTCCCGCCCGACGTGGAGCCGCAAGCGTCGCGCGCAGGGTGTTGGGTTTGGGGTGGGAAGCGTCTCGCAAGGGTTTTTGGGGTTCCCGCTAGGGAGAGGAGGGGTCGAAAGAAGAGACGGTGCTTTTTCGGAGGTTGAAGACCTCTTTGTGCCGAAGAACGACTCAGAAACCGCCTTCGGTGCTCCCGTTTTCGGTGCCTCTCCGAAGACTCGTCGCTGGTTGCTCGGTGCTTCTGCGAAGACTCCAAGATCCCGATCTGCACCGTTCCGTTCGACGTCGTTCGGTTCGACGTCGTTCGCCTTTGGACCACCGATCCGCCACCGGCTCCTCGTCCGACGGAATGCGTGTGACGACGCACGCCTTCGGTGAGGACCTGGTTGCCGCGCTCGGCTGTGGCGTGACGCGACCGTGTTCCGAAGGTGACGGATCCGTCGGATGGATCCGATCGGCTATGAATTCGGTTCGTTTGAATGCAAGGTGGGTTTAGACTGGGGAGGTTTCCACCTGGACGATGCGACCTGGGAGGTTTCAACCTTCACTTAGCCGGATCCACATACCGAACCTGCAGAGTGAGCACGAGTATGGAAACTGATCGGCTCGGTTCCAGGTCTAAGGACCTGAGAAGGCGGTGGATCCATAGGGTTAAACTTATAGTGAAACCCAGTGCATCCCAGGCAACCCACGTCTAGCTGGGAACCAGGGATTCGGAACCGGTCTATGGTTTTAGTCGAACTGGAACCAAACTGGTTACCAGCGACATCATGGTTTGCCTGGATGCTGTGGGAAAGTCTACATAGCTCCAGTGGTCTTCCTCTTCGAATTTCAACCCTCATTCCAAGCCTCCGCCTCCCTCCGCCTCCCCTCGGCCGCCTTTGAATCCGACTCACAGGGCCGATATCCCAGACACGACCCGAAGAAGGGACTGCCATGTCGGACTGCTGAGAAAAGGCCAGGGGTGGTGGTGCCATTCGGGTCTGTCTATAGGGCGGCAGTCCGACGACTGGCAGTCCCAGACAGGTCGGTCGTGTCTGGCTATTAGACCAACAGTTCTTCTCCGTTTTGTTGTTTCTAACAGCGATGACCTCCATGCGGCCGACCAGACTCCCCGACCGTCGCGACCGACCCGACCCCCCGACCCCCAGGAGCAGCAGCTGGGCGACGCGGCCCAGCGCGTCCTTCAGAGCATCCAACGCTTCGATCGGCCCCTTCGGATGCGGAGGAGAGTTCGGGTGGAGCGGACGGGTTTGGTGGTCTGGTGGGACCTCGCCCACTTCCATGGCTCTAACCGGTGGTGCAACATGGTGTAACCGGTGTCAGATCCAAGATCATTCAATCAGATTTAGTTTTTGTGGCTTCCCTTTTTTCCGTTTGGTCCGGGTTCTTTCGACGTGGGCGAGGTGAGGGAAGTGTGTTTGGCGCTTCAAGACTGGTTTAGACATGGCTGTTTTTCACCAAGTGGGTAAAGATGGGTAAGCAAAACTCAGGAACATCAGTAGTAGGATTGACAAGTTCTAGAGGTGTTTAGACCCCAAGTTTTTGGAACAAACCAATTTCCTCCATGCATATCTGAATCACATGGATGCACGTGCATGGCTACTGAGTCCGCATGGGGCAGGGGGAGTTGTCTTGTTCTAGACCCCTGGTATAGCTGGGGCGGGCCTTGTTTCAGCCGGTTTCAGGCGCCCTAGAGATGAATATGATAGGTGCTTGCCAGATTGCACACATGGTTTTATTGGCCACCGTGAATAAACGTTTTGACTCTGGCTTCTTTAAAGGTTGAACTAGTGTATATAGCCGCTAGCCAGCTCACTTACTAATATAGAAAATCATACAACAGGCAGTTAAAAGACCACGATGTCAATTAGCCCACCTTCGAAATCGTTCAGAGATGTTTTTCTTGGTTGGGACTTTCGCACTACCACGAATGAACTGGTTGATAGGTTGATGTGACTCTTTAGACTGACTCCATAGGTCTGGAAGCAATGTTGAACCGAGCGCGGTAGGCTTGACTGGTTGGGCTTGAGTTGTATACTACAGCCTTTCTTGTCGGACTCTAGAGGGGGATGCTGTAACTGCTGTAACTGAGGGGATCCTGTCGGGATCTACAGGGGATAGTTCTACTGGATGCCCCACATGTTTCAGCTCATTTCGACTAGAGTCACTAGAGGCAGAGGGAATCCTTTTGGCTTTGCCATGGGGCATCCCAATCCAGCTGCACTCCTATGCTAAAAGGTTGCTTTGTAGGTGCCCCAAGGGAGTAGCTTCAGGATTCCGCGAAAAGATTTGAAGCCACCGCCTGCTATCCACAGTTCAATCTAATTGCTATCCACGACTAGAAACTGTTGGCCATCCGGTCTACGAAGTCCACAAGTCCCGACGCGCCTTCCCCCCGAGGCTGCGGCGGGACTTGGCTTCTGCGTCAAGTTCCACCGTCGCGCGCTTGGTGGCAGGCGGGGAGGTTGCTGTGTGGCTGGGAGGAAAGTACCAACAGAGGTTTTTCAGAACTCACCCAGACACGACCTGTCTGGGACTGCCATGTCGGACTGCCGATCACTTGGGGTCCGGGGTGGTGGTGCCAGGGGGGTCTTGGCAGGGACTCAGGTCGTGAACCAGTTCGACCATCCCCGGATCTGGGTACCCCAGGTAGCTCGGGTCCTTTGGTCCCGGTCACTGAATACCTCTTTTGGTATGGCTGTTGCTGTGCTGTCGCGGTGTTGGTGTGGCCATGGTTGTTGCTGCTGCTGCGCAGTGACTTGGCTCACTCACCGAGACTGACTTACCAATCGTAGACTCTTGATTAATAAACCCTTCATGTATGCAATATGAAGAGGATTTTCCAATTCAAATTTGCGGGTTGTTAATCCAGAAGAAGTGAATGCCGCAGACCGACTCACCAAGTAGGCAACCAACGGACGACGAAACAAGCATGCCGGCTGCTCACAAACTGCTCGGAAGATAGGGAGGGCGGTTTGATCCTCATTGGACTTACAGTGGTTTAAGAGTAGATGGCACCAACTCCCAAATCATCCTTTAGATGGTCCATATAAACCACCAAACTTGGGGATTGTGCCATCTACTCTCAATCCACCATTACATGAAGATTCTTCTCTCTCAGTTCGCTCGAGAGCAAATCTGCACCCCCAAATAGTCAAGCTGATGTGCGGAACATGGATGTCCTACCAGATAGCTTAGTGTCGCTAGGAAGATGAGACAAAGAGAGGAAACCTCAAACCAAACAATACTGCAAACATCAACCCCTCTTAATAACACCAAAATGGGAGAAGTCAACTCCAATCCTCCAAGAATCTCCTGTTGATCCCTTCTTTGGGGAACACCGGAAGACCTCAGTGTACGGATCCGGCAGGATCCGTCGCCCCAAAAGTACACGTTTTGCGCACCTTCCTCGATGTCTTTGGGCCGCCGCCTTGCTGCCGTTTCGAGAAGGCCTCTCGCCCTTGGAGAAAGAGCTCTTAGAGGGCCGAGGCCGGAACCGACGAAGCCCGCGGACCGCGAAGACCGGGTGGGACGGCGTGACCGGGTCAACCCGACCGACGAACATGGCCGGACACGGGCTGAAGACCACAAGAACACGAAGAACCAATGGCTCATCTACCAGGCTGTAGATGGTCCGTGTAGTTTGGCAGGATTTCGAGGGTCGACCTTGGGCCAAGCGTTCAGAAAAACAGGGCGCACATCGTGACAATCCATCTTGGGTGAGCCTCACCTGCTCTATGATCTATAGACATCTATATATAGTACATCTATAGTTAAGTGTCAAGTTCTTTAATTAAGGTGCTTCTTGACTTAGGTCAAGTCCTTGCCCCGACCTTGCCCAGACCCCAGACCCCACGGTGCACTACAACCATCCCCCAGGTGCCTCAGCCGCCTTAGAGGAGCGCTTTCTGGCACTTCAAAGCGGCCTGGCTCAGTCCTCCGACACCTCCGCCACGCCGACACCTCCGCCCCCCTTCGCGAGATCGGCGTGCCGGGCACGGCACGGCGTGCCGGGGGGTGGCCAGGGGTGTCCTGCCCTCTCCGGTGACAGGCTCAGCTTCCGACCGGATCGACCCGGAACACGAGGACAGGTGCCGGTGGGTGTCGACGAATAGACCCTCCGTCCCCCACGATAAGGAGAGTGACAGGGCGGTCCCAGTTGCCCAGCGGTGCGACCGTGAACCACGGAACCTCAGGGGTGGAGAGAGGTCGAGGATAGGAGACACAAGATTAGATGCAGATGGAGAAAAGACGTGAGGCACTGCCATGGTCATGAAAGACCTTCGGAGACCTTCGCGGTCGTGATGGTCGTGGCTGGGGTTTGGACATGTTGAATCATGTGGAAGCTAGAGGTTGATTCTATCGAAGTCGGGAGCTCTTGACTCTTTGATGGAAGAAAAGACATGAATCTATCCCGTCGCAAAGTCGACCGAAGGATCCATGTACTGCAGCCTCTCATTCCGAGTGGTTTGTCCATGCGAATCCATGGCGAAGCCCACGTCACTTGACGTGCCCTAGATTCCTGGACAGAAAAACCAGGGGAGTTGGCCCCATCCACTTGAAAAGAACCAGGTGGACAAGGTGATTCCGGTGATTCGCAAGGGGAGCCTGGTTTGGATCTCTTAGGTGATCACCAATTTGGGACCCCGGAGCCACCCAGAGCGATGAAAGCTGGTCCAATAGTGAAGCGTGGCCCAATGGAGTCATTAACTTCATGATCTCAGAGGGCTAAGGGATCTTGTTCTCGACCGCTTCTTGACCTCTTCTTGACCGCTAAGTCCTCACCTCGAACGAAAAGGACTTCGCCCCCGCACCGCGCACGACGTCGGACGCCGTCGCCGACCACTCCGACCACTCCGACACTCTGGCTCGGCTCAGTGCGAAGAGATTCCCCCTCCGCCCGGCGCGCGTCGCGAACTTCGATCACGTGGAGCGCAGGACTGAGAGGGGGAGAGGGGACGGACTGAGGGACTGAGAAGGAGTGAGGCTCTTAGACTCCAAAGTTGCCATAGCTGCCATAGCTCAGTGCTGGAAGATGTTCAGCTGATGCCCTGAGTCCCCCACAGCTACCCGCGCTACCTACCATCTACTACGCTACGCTACGAATCGGATTGTTCCCCCACGGCACTGCAGCGCACGGAGAGACATCGGAGGTGCCCAGGAACCCGAAGGATCGGCGCTCGTTCCTCGCCAAGCAGATGAACGAACATCATGAACCCCTCCCCTTCCGGAAGATCACAGTGGTCACGAAAGGTAGCCCTTTAGGGGATACCTTGAGTTTGTCTTGCGAAGCAAGTGTTGGGACGTCCGGGTCTAATAATTGATCGCTCAATTCAGACCCCCCCTCGAATTGATTTTTCAATACAGACCCCCCTGCGCTTTCTTGGAATTGATTTTTCAATACAGACCCCCCCCCTCCCCCCTCTAAAATCAATTCTCTCCTGGAGAACGTCTTCGTGAGCCTCTCATGATTTCAGGATAGTTGAAACCCTCTTGAAGAAAGAGTGAATATGAAATTCTAATATATTCTAATCACGAAAGGTGTTCCCCGAGGGGATACATACCTAGAGTTTGTTTTGTGAAGCACGTCAATTCTCTCCTGGGGAGCGTCTTCGTGAGCCTCTTATGGTTTCAGGATAGTTCAAATCCTATGATGTTCCGATTCAATGCTCACCGATGATCTGAGCCATGGGGCAAGTTTGTTTTCCTAAGAATCTTTTTGAACATTTCGAGAGCATATGTTTGAACATTTAGAGATATTTAGAGTGCATATGAACATATATTTACGACATGTCGCCTCCGAGGGGATAAATCACCATGTCGAACATTGCATTTTTGTTCCTGCCTCTCGCGTTCTCTTCTCTTCCCGCTGTCCTACCTTTCGTGTCTCCCTCCTGTCAAGTCGTTTTGACATCGTTTTCCGCAGTAGTCCACGTACTGGATTAATATCCATGCAAGTCCTCATTGCATCTCTTTTCATCATGTCATGGGGTTTCCCAGCAAAGCCTATTGTCCTCACGCAGACAAGACGTCTCACAACACCGAGACGTGGAAACGCAGTGATTTGATGCAGCTGCACGTCTCCAGGCCATGGCAACCGTGCCGGTGAACCCCAAGCCCTTCCTGAATGACCTCACGGGGAAGTTGGTGCGGTGTGGTGAGTGTTGCGTGGGGGGGGAAGTGGGAGAGCCACCGGGAGAGGGTTCATCACTGAGAATCACTGAGATCTTTCGGGTTTTGACTTGAAAGGAGACTCCTGATATACCCTGATGAACAACTTGAGCAGGAAGAAAACACGCAATGGGATTGAGAGGCATAAATTAAATATACTGAGTACTAGTGACTAACAGATTCAAGAAACATCTCTGCTGGTTGGACCATGCACATGTCATCTGCCACCTGTTGCTGCTAAGTGTGAACCGGAGGAGAGTTCATGTTGCTGTATGTCATCTGGCAATTCTGTAGCGTCCATCTACCAACAACTCCGCCATGTTGGAGGGTGGCCAAGTCATCAGCCCTTGGTGCTGAGTGTAAGCTGGAGGGGAATGGGATTGGAGGCCACCTGTGAAGAGGCTTGGGGGGTTGAAATATCAATCCCTATGTCTCCAGGGTTGGTATGACAAGAACCAACGAACTACCCAGCAGGCTGGGCCCGGAAACCAGCAGGCTGAGCATTTGCTGGACTATATATACTCTGTCTCTTGATGTCTCTTGTACACAGGGTGCACAGGGATCTTTACTACAACACCAGGTCAATTCTTGATCCATTTCACATACCATGCCTGTTTGGTTACCAGTTCAAAGGGGAGCAGGAATGGTTGAAGGTTCTATATAGAAGGTTTATGTGGTGATTGCTTGGGCACCAACTGGACGCTTTTCAAGACATGCTGACATGCTAACGACCAAGACCATTCGCAACTCAGAACTGGCATTCGTCAAAGGCAGTTCTGCCCTGTCGAACGCTGGAATTTCTGGTCTAGAGAATCTCTATAGCACTATGCATTTGAAGAGAGGGCACCCTCTTTTTCTGCTCACCGTGAATGTCAGCTGTGAATTTCTCACCAACACAGGGCCCGTTCCGTTTTTTTTTCTTCTGAAAACACATCAACTCATAATCCCTAGGGCTCCAAGTACCTCCTCAGGTTCGGTATGACTGGACACCACCGAAACGAAACGGTTCGGTACGGAGCCCAGTGGCCACGCCACGTCGCTCGCCCTTGTGGAGCGGTCGTGACGCAACGGGTGACTGGCTGGTGGATTTCCGTAATCACACCACCCATGGTAAATACACCACCCATGGTAATACACTCCACCCATGGTAATACACCCATGGTCATTTGACTGTATTTACCTACATTGATCAGCTGGGGTGGATTTTTTGGGGATCAATGGGGTGGTGGTCAATACACGACCTGTCGACTGCCAAGTCGGACTGCCGATCCGGCGCCCCGGCTTCCACCACCCCAATGTACTTCGGCAGTCCTATGGCAGTCCCAGACAGGTCGCGTGGGGTAGGTAAATATTCCACACATGGAGTGTCAGCATGATGTTTGTAGCTGTAAATGAACATGAGAACACCCATCATCATATCGAAAATATCCATATGGAACAAGTACGTTTCGTCTACTGAGTATACTGACCATCCACCCCACCGCCGATCAATTTCAGGGGTTTTCTGGAAACCAACTCCTTCACATTGTTCTATGATGTTCTATCTGTACCAAACAAACTCCATGGACCAATCGATTCATATATCAAATCATCGAAGCGGTGGTGATTGTTCACAACGGTCACGGTCTTTCTGAAAGAAAGTCTGGACGATCAGAGAGTCAATTTGGGAAAACCGTCCACTTTTGGGGAAAGACATGGCTAGACATTGTTGGAGCCAACCGAAGCTCTTTTTGGTGTGTGTGAGCCAAGCCCGGGCTGGAGGCCAATTTAGCTCGTGTTGTGAGGGGAGGAGAGGTAGCCCTATTGAAAGTAGCGTAGCCGTAGCCTAGCCTTGGGCCAGTCCAGACAAAAGCAACCTACTAGCATGTCAGTGTGAGCAAAGATCTAGTCATCGACCCAACATGATGAGCCCAATTCCCAAACCTCTACCAGCCATCATCCAGCTTTCTAGGACCACCCACGAAAATACCTAGGTTCTCGAACATCTGCGACCAAGCAAACGCCCCTTCCGCAGGTGCTGACGAAGCTGAAATGGGGAATGGAGTATAAGGGCACTCTCAAGTGCGCCGACCTTCCCTTCCGGTGGGTGGGTGTGATGTGTCGATTCAGCCAGGGCCAGGAAAAGGATCAGTTGGGGACTTGTTCCACGCCAGAGGACATGTTTGGACCCTGAGTAGAGAAGACAATAGTTAGATAAGATAGTTCAGATGACTTCGTGGTAGTTTAAGATACAACCAATACAACTTAAGTGACAAGAAGTCTTTTCTCCTCTCTCTCTCTCTCTGCCGAACACCTTCCTCCCTCCTTCCCTCCTTCCCTCGATTCTTTCGGTCCTTTTGGCCCGTGCGATGTGAACACCGCCCGAACACCAACGCAGCATGAAGCCATGTTGGTTGAGGGAACGCAGTCGCTCGCCAATTGGACCATCCAACGACGCAGGTCTCGCCCAACCAACCAGGGAGTGAAAAGCAGGGTGTTTTTCGAGTCGGGAATGACACAGAGTGGCTGTGTCATCCTCGCCTCTGTGTGATGATGTGAAAAGAGACTTTGGACTGAATTATTGCAAGCCTGGAATGAGCTAAGAAAGCAAGGATAGACCTGTGTTCGAGGCTCGTTGAAGTTCTTTTCTTGTGCAATACGAATGACACGTGTACAATTGAACGTGAAACAGTCTCTATGTCTCTCTATGTCTCTCTCTGTCTCTATGGTGAACTCCCGCTGTTTAGTTCGCTCACCGTTCATGGTTTTGC